GGGATTTTACCTTGTGAAGGAACCTAGCTTAAGGTGGATCTCAGCTCCTATGTCCTTGCCTCTCTTCCATTGGGATTCATGGCATGAAGGGCAAAACAGCCAAAATGAAATGTTTTTTCTTGCCCAGATTGCCAAGGGTGACTGGGCTGGCAGGGCTTTCCTACCTCATACTACCTCCTCCCCTTTTCTCATAAAGGTATAAGAACATTTTACTGAGTCTGTTGAGGGGACATCTACCAGGGTGGTAGGTTTGCTACCCTGTTGCCTCAACTAAAGATGCTTTATTCCTCAACCATTGACTAATTTATTTCAGGATTTTACACTGAGATTCTGACACCTGAGACCAGGGGGAGCATTTCAGGAATGGAAGAAGAGCCGATGCAAAGACACGGAGATAGGAGATAGATCGTCATGTTGGAGGAACAGCCAGTAGGCCAGTATGACTGGATCTTAGTGGAGGAATGTGTAAGAAGTCAAATCAACAAGCATTTATTAAGTGCTTACTGTGTATGTGCCGGGTACAGAGAATATCAGAAAGACAGTCTCTGCCCTTACATTCTAATGGTGAAAGACAATTAAGATCATAAAAGGAAGGAGAGGGAGGAATGAAGGTACCTGAGAGAAGTGTGGGAAGACAGTGTGTAGAAAATCAGGGAGGAGAGTCAGGTATGCAGCCTGGAGAGGAATGAAGAGTTGAGTGGACTGGGTGGCTTCTTTAAAATGGAGGTTCTCAGAGAAACCAGCCAATAGGGCAGAGGAGGTACAGTGGAGGAGGAAGAGAAGGAGGAGGGTACTTCCAAGATGTGTCGTTGTTGTTTGTCCTTCGTTCTAGAAGAGGACCATAACATGCAAGTGAATTGGATTGTAGTGAGGCAGGGCTGTGCAAAGTCACCAGCCTCACTTTCTCCTCCAGAGCCATCTGGGTCCAGTGGCCAGATGTAGATCAGGATGACTGGAGATGGCCTCAGGTGCAGTGGGAGACCTTGGCCTTTTTAAGTTCAAGTCTTTAACAGGTTTCAGTTTGGCTGATGAAATGTCCTTCCAAGATGTGAAATCAGTTCTGGAGTAAGCTTCTAGGGTGAGGAGGTTTCTGGTACATAAGAAAGCTGGGAAGATAGTGGGTGCCAAGTTTTAAGAGCTTTACATGCCAAAATACTTTATATTTGATCTCTCATGGGGAGCTTCTGAAGTAGGTTGTGGGGAGGGGGAGGATGACATGGTCTGACCTGTGCTTTAGAGATATCATTTTGGCAGCTGTGTGGAAGATGGATTGAGACTTAAAGCAAGGAGACCAATTAGAAAGCTATTGAATTAGTCATGTTGAGAGATAATAAGAGATTGTGTGAATGAAAAGAAAGGAAAGATACTGTGAAGATTTGGGAATTGATCAGATATGGTGGGTTGAGGGAAAGTGAAGAATCTAGAATGACCCGGAGGATCCAAACCTGGGTGACTGAGACAGTGGTGCTGCCCTTGACAGTAACAGGGACATCTTAAAGAGAAGAGAATTTTTGGGGAAAATAATGAATTTTGGACATATTAAATTTGAAAGTTCTTCAGGACATCCATAGAAATGTCCAACAACAACTGGTGATGCACAACTAGAACTTGGGAGAAAGCCTAGGGTTGGAATGTATATCTAGGAATAATCTGCCTAGCCATGATAACTGCTGTGGCAGCTAATGAGATCACCAAGTCAGACAGTATAGAAAGCAAAGAGAAGGGGACCCAGGCACAGTCTCGAAGAATACCTAGTGAGTGGACCTCACATGGATAAAGATGCAGCAAAGGAGACTAGGAAGGAGTGGTCAGACAGGAGAAAAACTAAGGAATTAAAGTGATGACTTGCAGCCTTTCTCTGCCTATTATTTATGTTGATGGTCCCTCAAATATTCTGACTCTTCAATTCATCAATGTCTTCAGCTCTTATGACCTGCATCCTCCATGGTTACCACCCCCCCAGGGACAGTCATATTTTGGACTTCACCATCACCCAGCTCTATGCCACCTCCATAATCATAAACTCTTCTCTCTCTGATCATATTCTCCTGTCCTTCCATGTCTCTCTTCCTAAACTGTTTCTTTATCCATACTCACTGATCTTTATTATGACATCTCTGACTGCCCCTTTTTCCCCTTCCCAGTCTGAACCCTAGAGTTGACCTGTTCAACCTATGCGTAGTACTCTAAAACCCTTACTCCTTTGGCCTATCACCATTCACACTTTTTTTTTTTAAGGCGGTTGGGGTTAAGTGACTTGCCCAGGGTCACACAGTAAGTGTCAAGTACTTGCTCTGAGGCTGGATTTGAACTCAGGTCCCGCTGACTTCAGGGCCAGGGCTCTATCCACTGTGCCACCCAGCTGCCCCCACCGTTCACACTTTTACAAACCCTAATTCTTCCTTACTCTCCACTGGGCAGCTGGGCCTGGTTGGGAAAACCTGAGTTCAAATTTGGCCCTAGATACTTTCTAGGTACATGACTATCAGCAAGGCCCTTGACTTCTGTTTGCCTCAATTTCTTCAATTGTAAAATGGGAATAATAGCACCTACATCACAGGGTTATTGTGAGGATTAAACGAGATAAAATGTGTAAGGTATTACTGCTTAGCATAGTGCCTGGCATGTAAGAACTTATAAGTCCTTATTCCCCCGACCCTATCCACTTGCTCTCCAGTGGGTTCATGGGATCACAGATTTAAAGCTGGAAGGAGACTCAGGGGCCATCTATTCCAACACCCTGTTTGACAGATGAAGAGACTGATCAGAGAGATTCAGTGACTTTCCGAAGGTCGTACAAGTAAAATTGAAGGTGGGATTTGAAACTACTTCCTCCAACTCCAGAACCAGTGTACCTTGCCCTGGAATACAGTGCCTCACTCAGGAATCATCTCAAGGCAGATGACGCCCAAATCTATACAACCAACTTTTCTTTCACTAACGAATGCCAATCCGTCATTGCTGTCCGCTGTTCAGCTCCGCTTGGATGTCTCATCAGTTTTTCGAACCCAACACATCCAAATGGAACTCATTTCTCCCATAAGCACGCTCTCCTCCAGATTTTTTCCATCATCCTTCCAATGAACCAGGTTGGCAACCTGTCAGCCTTGCCACACGCTTCTCCCCTCACCCACTTTGTCCAGTCAGTTGTCAAGTGTCCTCTGCTCTACTTCCACATTTCTTGAATGTATCCCTTTCTCTGCATTCACTCGATCATCACTTTGGTTCAAGTCTTTATCACCTCTTGCCTAGGAAGTATTAGCTTCCTAATTAGTCTCCATGTTTCTGGGCTCTCTTTTCTTCAGTACATTCTCCACATAACTGTTCAAAGTCTTCCTAAGGAACAGACAGGCCTGACCATGCCACTCATCTGCTTATAAAAAATCATTTTAGTGCCTCCCTATTGGCTCCAGTATACAAACTCCACAAACTGCTCGGTTTGGCTTTTCACATCTTCCACAAGCTATCTTTAATCTCCCTTTCCAGACTTATTACTCAACTTCGTGCACTGTACATTCCATCTGACCTGCCTTTCTGGAGGCTAACTATCCCTATGTTTCAAATACACTTCCATCACTTTGGCCTCTCAAAACCCTTAGCTTCCTTCAAAGCTCAGCTCGGCCACAACCTCCTACTTAACACCTTCCTGATCCCCGACTTGTTACTGTTCTTCCTCAAATGATCTCATCTTTAGGAAGCTCTGCCCGTACTTAACTTTATACAAAGAATCATAGGATCATACATTTGGAACTAGAAAAGATCATATGGGCCTTCCAGTCCAAGCTTTTTGTTTTACAGATGAGGTCATCGGAGGCCCAAGGAGCCATCTTACTCGGTTCATACAGGTGCTAATTGGCACGGTTGGGATTTGAACCCATACCCTCCAGCTACAAATTCACTGCTCTTTCTGCAATATGGTAGAAGCAGGCTAGTGATGGACCTGGAATTAGGAATACAAAGATTCAAATCCCAAATGACATTAGCTTAATGGGCAAGTCATTTTACCACTCATTACCTTTACATTTATTCTGAATATATTTAAACATATACTCATTGTCTCCCCAACTAGACTGTAAGCTCCTAGAGAGAAGTGACTGTTTTATTCTTTGTATTTGCATGCACAGTGTAGAGCAGAGAGCCAGGCACACACTAAATGTTTGCTAATTGATCAAATGAGATTACATATGTAATGAGCTCTAAAATTCCAAGTACTAAATAATATCCCCCCAGTAGGACTGAAGCTCACTGGGGGTCGACGTTGTTTAGTTTTTCTTTTTATGTCTTCAGAATCTAGCACAACACCTTGCACATAACAGATACCTAAGTGTTTGAATTGAGATGAAGCCCTCTGAAAACTGTATGGTTGGCTACTTGAGAGAGTACAGAGCTGATCTTGAAAAACTAATAAAACCAACATCCATAAATCCAAAATTCCCTCATGATTGAACTGTCTGACAGAAGTCAAAATGACTTTAAAAGTTCTTCTGAGTCTTCCCCTGTCCTAAGCCTTATTTCTAAAGTCTGTGAGGAAAAGAGATACCATGTTCTGAAGTTCCAATATATAGTTATCCCATGACTAAGTTCTTCATAAAGGATGAACATATCATCATAAAATTGATTTTAGGAAATAGTTTATTTTTTAAAAATTTTAATGGAGAAAAATCTTTAAAATAATAAAATCAAGATTCTTTTTATTAAACTTATATAGAATTCTAGAATAAGCTTAGGGAAATAAATTAACATAATGCATTACTGTTTCTTTTGGAAACTGCTTTAATATCACATTTTAGTGCTACTACGTGAATACAGATACATAAAGCAAAAAATACACTTATTAAAGGATGGCCTCAATACCAGGGACTCACCTCCACATCTGAATTCATAAACACTCAGACATAAAAGAAGAGTGGTACTTTGTTTTTCAATTAAAGAAAAAAATACATGTTGGGGAAGAATGGGAAAGGTAAGAAAGGGAAAGTCAGAAGACTGGGTTCAAATTCTGGCTCTCCCACTTACCTTGAAGAAGTCACTAAACCTCTTTGGGCTTCAATTTTCCCATCTATAAAATGAGAAGTTGAGCTACATAATCTCTAATGGCACTTCCAGCTCCAAATTCTGTATATGACCCAACAGAGTAAAATGTTTCCCTATTCTTTGCTTAGAACTTACATTTCATTTACATATTACATTATATTTACACAGCAAGTGTAGTCCAAGGTCTGATCCAAATTTCTACTTAATATAGGCCTCAATAACCCTATCAGTAAAAACAGGTATAACTTTCACGCTTTCAAAGGTGTTTTGATTCCTCGGTATAATTTTGCCAAAAAGTAAGCCTCTGATGATTCTTTCCTGCTAGCTACAGGTTTTATAGTCCTGACATTCTTGAATTCCTTTTCTAGCCTATTTTGTAAGACATGTCGTTGACCTCCATCCCAAAATTTACAGAGAAATGTCCCTCCTGGATGTAATATACTTGAAGCAAAGTTCAGAAGAGACAGGCACATGTTTATGAGCTTTTGGTGATCAAGGTCCCGAAATCCAGTTGCATTGGGTGCCATATCACTCAAAATCACATCGGCTTTCTGGCCAGGAAGCTGCTCTTGAATTTTCTTCATGGTCCTTGAGTCGGTTACATCAGCTGAACAGAGGAAGATTGCTCCCTCCAGTGGAAATATATGAAGGAGATCTACCCCAAGGACAAAACCAACAGGGGAGTTGGGATCTAGAAAATACACAAATGATTAACAAATATCATCAACGCAAAATACTTTCCCTTCTTACTTTTGATAAGTGAACTTTTTGATAAGTTAAATACATCAAGCACATACTAATTTAAAATAGCTCTGAATTAGATCAATAAATCCATCCCATGTGTCAACAAATTCAGTCAAAGGAACCCATTAAGACTATCTAATAAAGGTAACAATTTGAATTGTGGAGAGAATAACAATGAAATCACAGACCCTTCAAGTATTACAAGTACAAATTACAATGATAATCTTTGATTTCTTATAAATCCACTTGCTTCATCTCATAAAATTTTTTTTATGTGCAAACTCCTTTCTATTCCCATCCATAATTCCCTTCCCACCACCAATGAATATTCATACCCTAGTTTCCCTACTCTCATTTAAGCAGGAGTCATTTACCTCTGTTATTTCCCTATACTTAAACTGGGTCTACTAATTCAGTTGGTGAGAGCATCTGTATACTAGAAATATATTCAAACAGACCATAATCATGGGCCCTAGGGGTTGGAAGGGTCCTCAGAGAGGGGTCATATAGTCCTTGGCCTGAACAAGAATCTCCTCTATACTGCATCCAATAAGTGGCCACCCAGCCTCTGGCTGAAGACCTACATTAAGAGGTAAACCGCTACCTCCCAAAGTAGCCTGCTTCACTTTTGGAAGGAAGTAATTGTGGAAATATTTTTCCCTAAATCCAGCTTGAATCTTTCCTTGCAATTTATACCCATTGTGCCTAGCTCTTCCCTCTGAAGTCAAGCAAAACACATTTAATCTCTTGCCCCCTAACAGCCCTCCTGATATTTGGAGACAGCTATCAATATCCACCACCACCCCCCTTCCAACAAGTCTCATTTTTTCCAAAGCTATTTAGCTCCAGTTTCTTCAAATGATCCTCATAAAGCATGCATTTCAGATTCTTCATTTTAGTCGCTCTTTTCTGGAAACTCTCCAGTTTATCAACATACTTCCTACAATGTATGACCCAATAATAAATACAACACTGCAGACATGATTTGACCAGGACAGTACTGTGGGACTTATCACCACCTTCATCCTAGAAACCTTAACAAACTATGTCAATTAAACAGACACTCACCGGTGCCTGCAGCATTGACTTTCTGGACAGCTACTTGACTCCATGCACCAGGGGCAGCACCACAGTCTAATACACGAAGCCCAGGATGAAAAATTTGGTGCTTCTCATGTATCTCCAAAAGTTTGAAAGCACTCCGGCAACGGTAATTTTCCACTTTTGCAGCTTTCACAAATGGGTCCTTCAAGTGCCTCATCAGCCAGCGATGCTCTATAGCTGTTCTGCCTTTGTGCCTGCTTACAGTAGTGTGAAACCTTTGACATTGAAGGAAGACACAAGCTGACTTCTGGTACCTGTTTTATAAAAAGAAACAAGCAGGGAACCTCTTGTTTTTACAAGAGAAAAGACATCTATTTTTCAGTTTCCTTACAAAGAAAATCTACTTTCTAAATACTAATAAATTTTTTTTTAATATTTCCAGGTATTAACATCACATTTTCAAGGTTCATTGTGATTATTGACTTAATTTATGTACTTTGCTTTTCTATTCACAAAGAACTTTCCTCTACAACCCCTTGAAGCACCAATAATGATCTCAATTTAAAAATGAAGAAACTGAGACTTAAAGAAAACACAGGATTGGTTCCAAAATCCAAAGTTACTAAGTGGCAGAGCAGGCCTCAAAGCCAGGTCCTCTGACTCCAAGTCTAGTGACCATTATCAAGAGAAAACTACTCCTAGAGGCAGCTAGGTGGCTCAGTGGATAGAGCATGGGCCCTGAAGTCAGGAGTACCTGAGTTCAAATCTGGCCTCAGACCAAACACTTGACACACTTACTAGCTGTGTGACCCTGGGCAAGTCACTTAAACCCAACTGCCTTAAAAAAAAAAAAGAGAAAACTACTCCTTCATTCAAGCAATGGTTACTAAGTACCTTTAATGTACTGAGCCTTTTATTAGATGACATAGATACCAAGATGAATAAGGCATCATTCTAGTGGTAGCCTGTCTAAATGAAATAATGATACAAAAATAACATTTTTTAATGAGTTATCTACCTTGTCACTTAACCCTGATTGCCTCAACAAAATAAATAAATATCTTTTTTAAAAAAATACTGTGCTCCAGATTAATTTTTATTATTTATTTATTTTGGGGAGGCAATCAGAGTTAAGTGACTTGCGGGGGGGGGGGGTCACACAGTAAGTGTCTGAGGCCCCATTTGAACTTAGGTGTTGATGACTTCAGGGCTCTACCCACTGCGCCACCTAATTGCCCTTTTTTTTTTTTAAAGGTTTGGGGTATTTTTTTCCATCAGTCAACGTGCATTTATTGAGTGCTCATTATGTGTCAGGTACTGTGCTCAGGTCTGTGAATACAAATACCAAAAAATGAAACAATCTCTGCTCACAAGGAATTTACATTTTACTGACTGCAGGTTGCAACCCATCCTGTGCCACTCTTGTGCATGTTCTCTCATAAATTCTACCCAACGTGCTTTCAATCTTGTTTGCTTTCTTCTGATATTGCTTTACACATCAGTTGGTCACAGCTTTTTGCTTGTTTGATATGTTTTAAAAAAAAAAGCAGAAAAGAAGGCTTGATACCCATCACCCACTGACCAACTGCCACCCATGGGTAGGTATTATAGCCCCTGATTCCTCAGCAGCCACAACTACTGGAGACCTGGAAAAGAAAAGTTCTTGACCCTCAAGTCTTTGGCGCTGTTAAAATGGTTCAACGTCATTAAGAGATATCATTTTTGTTTTGCATAACTACACATCCATAACCTATATCTAATCGCTTGCCTTCTCAATGGGGGTGTGGGAAGGAGGAAGGGAGAGAATTTAGAACTCAAAGTTTTAGAAATGAATATTAAAAATTGTTTTTACATGTAACTAGGGAAAATAAAATACTAAATAAAAGCTAAAAAACAAGAAGAGATATCATTTTATCCATGAAAATGACATTAAGGAAGAGAAATTACCATTTGCCTAGGGCTACACCCTAAAGACTATAGGATTTTTCCATCTGATTTGCAGCTGAAACCTCCTATGTGTGTTGTCTCTGCCATTAGAATGAGAACTCCTTCAAAGCAGGGACTTCTGTTTTTCTATCTGTATCCCCAACTTAGCACAGTGCTTTGAACATGGTAAGCACTTAACAAATGCTTATTGTTTATTCATTCCCTCAGATCCTGGTTGATAGGAAGTTTTAATCTTTTCTTTTTACTAGACCTGTAATTTAATTATATAGGAAGCCCCTTTCACCAAGGCAGGTCTCTAACTATGTGTTGCTGGTCTTACTCCTGAATCCCCCGTCTAGCCCTGCTCTTTTTTTTTACATAATTTGCCTATAATCAAACAGCAAGTATGATGGAGACACATCTTCTTGACTGCAAAGCTGACCTTCTATCCTCTATAAAATTTTGCCTCCATTATAATCCTATGAAGTCATTAGATCCTACTCTAAAAAAGTGAATTTTAAGGGAATTGTATGTCTATCAAGCAGCTGTTGCAATTTACACAAATCATGAATCATCAAAGTAAATTTGAAATTGCAATTTAGTTAAGTGTTTTCTGCTGACAGAACTTGTGAATGGTAGCAAGAGGCCTCAAATAAAATGTTGCTGAATCTCACTCTAAGGCTATTTTCTGCTTAAAAAAAAAAAGCCAAAAAACCCCCAGTTTTTAATATTTATTAAGAGTTGCAATAACTACATATGAATATGATATCTAAATAATTATACCAAATGAGATAATTGTAAAGTGCTTTACAAGCCTTAAAGTGTTATGATATAGACTTATACATACATATGTATATTATCATGTGTCATTATGTATTATCATATATTCTAATATACTCTTGTATGTATTGTAATATATATTGCTACCATATAAATGACATTATGTAAATTATACAACAATGTTATCATGCAATTATATTGCCCTTACACCATTGTTACATGTTCTATTAATATAATAGCGTATTCTTCTAATCTGTATTGTTATATATAATAATTTATACAAATGACATTGTATGATATATAAAATAACATAACATACAAGACAATGATATATAATTAAACAGAGAAAGACAGATGGATATTTTAACGCCAGCAAAGCATTAAATGTTTGCAAAGCACTTTACAATTATTTCATTTGATCCTCACGACAACTCTGGAAAGTAGATGCTATCGTTCCTAGTTTTGTTGTTTAGTCGTTTTCAGTCATGTCCGACTCTTTGTGACCCCTTTGGAGGTTTTCTCGGCCAAAGATACTGGAGTGGTTTGCTATTTCCTTCTCCAGCTCATTTTACACATAAGGAAACTGAGGCAAACAGTGTTAAGTGACTTGCCCAGGGTCACACAGCTAGAAAGTGTCGGAGCCGCATTTGAACTCAGGTCTTCCTAATGGCAGGCGTGGCACGCACTCTATCCACTGCGCCACCTAACTACCCAGTTTTACAGATAAGGAAACTGAGGCAGATCGAGGTTAAGTGACTTAGCCAGGCTCACTGCTAATAAGTAACTGAGGCCACATCTGAACTCAAGGTCTAACTGCACGGCAGAGATCTCTGCAGGGCACAGCTCCCTGCCTCTAGCAGCCTTAAGCGTCAGAGAAACATCTGAAGAATTAAATACCCCGAGTGTGACCTCTGAGCGGGCCTCAGTTTCCCCATCTATAAAGTGAGAGACTTAAACGCCAAGATGAAGACAGTGCCTCCGGTTCCTTCCGGCTCAGAGGGACGCCCCGGGATGTCGGGGACCCGAAGGCCTGACTCTCAGTGCCTTCCCACCCCCTCGCCCCTTGGCCCGAACGCCCTTCGCTGCGGGGGGCCTCGGTGTCCGAGGGCGGAAAAAGAAGCGCCAGCGCTCACCCAGCCATGCGACGCCCTTGCCGCCACCACGCTCCGGGTGCTCAGCGGTCCGCGCTCCCCTCTGGCGACCAGAAACTACTCGTTAGGAGCACACAGTTCCGGCTGCGACTGGGGTCGCGGGCTGGAGAGGGCGCCGGCGCTTCCCCGGCCTGCACGTGGGGACGACGCGTTTCCCGGCCGGACGTGTTTCAGAGGAGCATGCTCGGAAGCGGGATTCAGGTACGGACGGCGGGAGCCCGGGCCGGCGGGGTGTCCGGGCCGGCTGGCCGCTCGTTTCCCCGGGAGCCGTCCTCCCGAGCCTTGAAGCTTCCATCTCTCTCCTCTCTTCCGAGACCGCGACCCCACGCCCTGAGCCCCTCGGGTCCCCTTCCTCTGAACCTCAACATTCCTCTGCTGTAAACCCCATTCTCCTCTCCACCTTGGAAAATGCGAGCCCTGAGGCCTAAGCCTCCTCTCCGGAGACCCTAAGACGCTGCCCTCAGCTCTGACCCGCCTCCCCTGCATGAACCCCAACATCTACCCCTCCCCTCCTGGAGATTTCCCCATGGGACTTCGACCCCTCCCCAATCCTTTCTTTCCCCTGAGCCTGAGGCTTGGGTCCTGACCCCCCCCCAAAACCCCTTCTATCCTCCGTCGCAGATCCCGACCCCTCCCTCCTTACCCTCTTCTCTCCAGACTAACCCTCACTCTTGCTGATTTAGCCCCCCCTCCTCTGGAGACCCCAATACCTCTCAGTCGTGAAGCCCCCCCCACTGAGACAGAAACCCTAGGGCCTGACCCCCTCTTCTCTTTTTCCCCTTTCAGCCCCTGGTCTCTTGATGCCTTTCTCCCCAACTCGCCCGCTCACCCCTGCTTTGGAGACACCCCCCCACACACTCCTCTGCATTGACGCCTCTTCCTCCGAGACCCCAGGACCTGACCCTGCCTTCTTCATTCTCTAGTCCCTGCTTCCTGACTCACCTATTACAAATCTAGCCTTTCCTCTTGTCGGTCTACCCCACCCGCCTTCTGACTTTCCACTCCTCTCTAGACACTCCCACCACCTTCTCCCCAGACCCAGGTGCCCCCCATCCTACCCTTCACATTCTGACCTCCTCCAGGGCCCCCATCTTGACGCCACCTCCATCCCTTCCAGATCCCTCACCTCCCTCCACTCCCTTCTGAAGACTAAGACTTTCCTGGTCCTTCCCTTCCCCAATATCAACAAGTAATTTATTAGGCATCTGCTGGATGTAAGCACTTATCCAGGCTTTAGGGTTCCAATGTCAGAAAAGTATGGGATTAGGAGTCAGTCCTATGCTCCAGTCCCAGCTCTGTCATTGACTCCCCTGTTATACTGGGTTGAACATCTAAACATTTCTGGACCTCAGTTTTCTCATATGCAAAATGAATGGGGTTGAGTTAAATGAGTTCCAAAGTTAATTCCTGGTCCAGAAGTCTAGGATTCATATTTATTTATTTTTTTGCAAGTTTTTTTTTCTTTTTAGGCAATTGGGGTTAAGTGACTTGCCCAGGGTCACAGTGTCAAGTGTTTGGTCTGAGGCTGGATTTGAACCCTGACTTCAGGGCTGGTGCTTGTATCCACTGAGCCACCTAGCTGCCCTAGGATTTTTAAAGTTGAGTGATTGGTACTCCACCTCCCCCAAGTCAAGAGGCTCATTGGATTGACCATATTAGCCTAGAATGGCTTATGGGGTGGGGTGCTGTGAGCAATAAAATTCTCCATCTTCAGAAGAATATTAAATAACATTTTTCAAGGTACCTTTCATTTTCTGCAGTTTTATCAAGGTCGTAACACATTGGTATTTCCTTCTTTTCACTGCCCTATACCTTATCATTTCATAAAACTACACATAGGAAAGGCTAACAAAATTCTTGGCCTCTCTCAAAATACCATATTGTTGGGGGAAAAGACATAGGTAGGGAAGGCCTGAGGATAAAAGCAGCTTTAGCTATATCTTGACTAAATTTTAAGTCTTGGGTATTTTCAAAATAGTACCCAGATTATAACCTAAAATTGTCTTAGGTAGCCTACCCAGAGAGCTATGCCTGGAACGAACTTGGCATATATGGTTAGACATTGATGAAAATTATTGAAATAATGAAAATCCCGTCTCATCTAACAATCTGAGAGACTGTGGCCTGCTCAATATGAATATCTTGCCAAGGGCCTTACTGCCTTGTGATAAGTCCCCCTCCCTTCTGCCTACAGAAATGAAAGTTTCAAAGAGTTTACTCTCAAGGAGGTTACATTATACCAGCAGATCTAATTTATAGATATAAGTATATACAAAGTAATTTGTGGGAAGCAGTACCCCATAGTTCAAAGGGAATGGGAAAAGGTATCATGTAGGAGGTACCAAACTGAGATTTGACAAAAACTAGGCATTCCAAGAGTTTGAGGTAAGGAGGGTGGCATTCCAGGAATGGGAGGTGGGGGATGAGGTGGGATGGAGAGCGCCTCTGCCAAGTAAGAGGGGGGATGGAATGTCATGGATGAGAAATGTCAAGAAGCCAAGTTTGGGATGTAAAATTTGTGAAAGGGATTAATTCATAAGGCTGAAAAAGTAGATTGGAGTTAACACGGTAAAGGACTATAAATGTATTTCATCCTGTTGGTAAGAGGAATTTCTTTGGATATGACATGGTCAGACCTGTACTTTAGTAATATCACATACCCCTTCTCCCATTTTAATCAGTTGCCAAATCCTGGCTGTTCTACCTTCTTAATATCTCTGTGTACCCTTTTTTGATCTGTTATTGCCACCATTCTGATACAGACCGTCATCACCTCAGGCCTGGATTATTGCAATAGCCTGACTGGTCTCGCTGCCTCAAGCCTTTCCCATCTCCATCCTCCACTCAGCTGTCAAATTGATATTCTAAAGAATAAAGCCTTGTCACACTCCTATATAGTCACTTCCAGTGGGTCCCTGTTATCTCCAGGATCAAAATATAAGATCTTTTGGCTTTTAAAGCCCCTCATAAGTTGGTCCCTTCCAACCTTACAAGTCTTCTTAGACCTTATTCCACTGCATGTAATCTAAGATCCAGTGACTTGCTGTTCATAGAATAAGACACTCCATCTTTAGAGCACTTAGGTAGCACTGTGAATAGAACACTGGGACTGGAGTCAGGAAACCCTGCAAATCTGGCCTAGATACTTACTAGGTATGTGACCCTGGGCAAGTCATTTAACCTCTTTGCCTCAGTTTCCTCATCTGTAAAATGGGAACAATAACACCTCACAGGATTGTTGTAAGGATCAAGTGAGATAAGATTTGTCAGCACGGTGGCTGATGTTAGCAGGTGCTTTTTGTTTATTATTATCTCCCAATGCCCTCTCAATTTCAATTGGCTGTCCCCCCTACCTGGAATTCTTTCCCTCTTCATGTCTCCTGACTTCTTTCAAGCCCCAGCTAAAATCCCAGCTTCTACAAGAAACTTTCCTCCATTATCCCCCTTAATGCTAGTGCCTTTGCTCCAAGATTATCAACAATTTAGCACATATATATGTGTATATATATATATATGCATATGTGTGTTTATGCTTGTACATAGTTCTTTGCATGTTATCTCGTCACTGAACTGTGAACTCCTTGAAAGCAGGGACAGTTTTTTGTCTTTGTATCACCAGCACTTAGCACAGTACCTGGCACGTAGTGGGCATTTAATGTTTGTTTACTTGACTTTAAGGACAGATTAGGAAGAACAGAGACTTGAGACAAGGCGACCAAGTAGGGGTGTATCTCAGTAGTCCAGGAGAGTGGTGTTGAGGGCCTGAACCAGGGTGGTGCCATGTAAGAGAGAGGTAAGAGATGGTATAGAGACAGAATCAACAAGACTTGGCAACTAATTAAATATGTGGGAGAATGAGGAGCTGAGGGTAGCTCTGAGATTGAGAACCTGGGGGAGTGGAAGGATGGTGGTACCTTCAGCAGAAACAATGTTAGGAAGGTAAAATTAGGGGGTTGGGTGGGTTGGTGAGTTATGTTTTGCACACCTGAGTTTGAGGTTCCTATGGACGTGCAGTATGAAATGTATAATAAGCAGTTGGTAATGTGAGAATGGAGCTTAGAAGTGAGGCTAGGACTGGATAAATAGCTCAGGGAGCTACGGCTCTACTCACAATTCCTGTGACAGCCCAAATGCCCTTCACTGGCCATCCCTCCCATGTGAATGTTATATTATTGCCCTATTAAAAGTAAGCTCCTTGAGGGCAAGGGTTTTCTCATTTTCATATTTATGTCCTTGATGTCTGGCACACAGTAGGCATTTAGTAGATGCTGTTCATTCATTTAAATAGCCTTGTTCAATACAAAACAATATCCTGTTTTGCAGAATATTTTCAAATTATCATTATTTTGGTATAAATTAAGACTGAATTGCCTTTAAATTCTACATATTCATGCTGGGCACCAATGAGCTAATTAGCATTATTTCTATAATGCACCAATAATACAAATAATAGTTATATCTATAGAGCTTTCCTTATAATGCTGAGCTGGAATTTGAACCCAAGACTTCTATTAGTTCAGTGGTCTTTCCATTACACTACACTGTTCGTCCAATTAATGCCAGATGGACTAGATAACTGTAACATTTATTCATATGATTCATTAATCCATTCCCTAGTCCCTCTTGCTTTAATATTTCCCACCAGAATAGTAGGTCTAGATTCTGACTCATTTCTTTTTCTTTTTCCACAGAAAGATAAACATGTTCACTTCTAGGATTTATACCTTAGTTTTAGTGATGAAACCTCAGCACATTCTTTTAGGAATGAAGAAACGTGGCTTTGGAGCTGGGAGGTGGAACGGCTTTGGGGGGAAAGTGGAAGATGGAGAGACTATTGAAGAAGGAGCCAAGAGGTGAGTGGAATGGACTTCACCCTGGTGATACTATAGAGGATTTGGTTTTAATTCTGAGAAAATAAATCCATAACAAAAAGACCACTTACAAGCAAGGAGAAAAAAAAATTCCTAAATACCACATTAGTCCAGGCAGCAGTTTCAAGGAACGGAGATGATCTAACAATCTCACAATATCCTGTGATTGATTTGACTTGACGGTATACAAACTAACAGTAACAGGACATTCAGAAGACATGCTCAGTGGGTTTCATTGCCACCTTCATATCTCATGGTTTGTTCTGGTCCTGATAAACAAAACAAGACATATGCCAGCCAGATCTAGGACAACAGCCTTTCCAAGAATGGGCTATACCTGAAAGGCCTGGAAAACTCATTGTTTTATGTAATCAGGACAACAAAAGGCATCGTAACTCTTTGCAAATGCCCCCCAAAAGGTAATAATAGTAATAATAGCTAGCATTTTTGTAGCGCTTTAAGATTTACAAAATGCTTAATCTATCTCATTTGATCCTCAGTACATAGCAGTTGAACTCTATAAGATTATAAGAAAAAGGGAGAAGGCCAAGGATGAAGCAGTCACTGGCATATAATTTTCAGTTCTGTAGCATTTTGGAAAGATCTTCAGGACTGAGCCTGGAGAAAATCCAAAAAAGATAATCTCTAAATTTCAGTTAATTCAGGCTGATGGAGGCCAGCATGAAAACATATTTTGGAAGGTGGGCAGATCAAAAGCTAGGGAAACAGATCAGTGATAGAAACTAAACCTAACTCTTGTCTAAATAAGATTGTTGCTGCCCCACACACCTGAAATGACTGGCACCAAGACCTACTTAACAGCAGGGCCTACTTTTGCATTCCAGGGTAAGAATTTGATTCCAGAGAGGAAGCCCTTTTTAATTCATAAGACGAACTGTCCAAGAAGAAATTGAATAGTTGCTATTCTGAAATGTTAAATCCATACTGTATTTTTACCTGTAATAATCTTTTCCTTGATCAAGATTCCTATAAAATGTTATCTCAAACCATCTTGGAATCTTGAGACATGTTAGGAGGAATGAAGCAACGATGTCATTTTGGACATCTCTAAGATAGAAGTGGCTTAGATAATAAGGATAAATGAGAGTTGTCTCTTGTAGACGTGTGTCTGTAATGCAAGCAGACTATTAACATCTTTTTCTTGGACACCAGAAAACAGGATAAACACCAGAGATAAAACAAAATGGTTGAACTTCTCTATGAAACCCTTCATATGCAGCTGGATTGGCTGGTTTAAGTTCCCCTCCTTTTCTTGCCCTCCCCCTTCTAGCAATAAAAGAGGAGAAGCAAATGATCTAGACAAGCCAGGAATCTACACAAGTCAAAAACTGAGTAAAAAAATCCATGAATAGTCAAGAATTTATAATAATCAGCATGCACTTTCAGTTTGGTAGTTTTGACTTTTTTTTCCTGGAACTTTTTATTAAAGCTTTTTCCTCTCCAGACGTAAATAGAGTCCTATTATTACAGCCCCTAAACACTTTTTGTTAGAAATAAGGAAACTGAGGCACAATAAGGGAAATTAACTTCCTCAGTTTTATACCACAAGCCCATCACAAAGAGAGCCCACAACTATTACTAATCTCAATGGATCACTTGAAGGTAATTATTTTTTTTGTTCAGAGGTATAGACTTAATTAGATAATTTTCTAGACAAGTTTACCATAAATGCCTCGATTATTGCCAGAAAGGTTAATATTATTTTCCATTTTAGAGACTTCTAGCCAAGTACTTCAATATACTTCATAAATGTGATATGAATAATTTATTAAATTGAGCATATGTTTTGTGATACAGAAATGCTCACAGACTCATGTCCTCAAAACCCTACATCTTTACCTCAGTTTCTCCTTCCCATAGCTACTTTACATTCTTCAGAGAAGACTACTTCCTCTGTACAGATCCCACCAGCCAGTTTATCAGACCTCATAATGCCAGATAATCCTTGTTGCAGTTTGCAGCCAAAAGCTTACCCTGGAGGGAATCTCCCCTGCTGCTGGATCTAATTAATTGGTGCTGTACAAAGCAATGTGCTTTTTTTGGGTCTAGGCTGGCTCCTTACTGTGTTTAGAAGCAGGAGAAAGACAGCTAAAGTTCCCCTCCTTTTTTGGGGGCCTGCATAGTTTATTCTGTCAGACAATGGCACTATTTTGTAGTCTAAGGGGTAATTTCACACTTAGTCCTTAAGTAAAAATCTAAATTTAAGTAAGCACCATAGGGTAGACTTTGCCCACTGGACTTGAAACAACATTTGATTGTGCTGCACTGGCAACATTTCTTAAGTCAAGGATCTGTGGTACCTACATAAAGTTTTCTTCTACCTATGTACCCTGATTTCAGAGGTAACCTTATAATCTCAGTGATGGTCAGTATTGTAGTGATTCAGTGGTTTGGCCCACTCTGTAACCTGACTGGCTTTGTTTGAGATACAGCCAGGTCAGGAATGGTGGATTGGTTGGAAATCAGACGATAAACAAAGGCTTAATGCACCTTAGCTCTGCAGTGGACCTTCCTAAATAACATTAATTGATTTTAGTTCTTCTGTATATATGTCTCACTTTATTCATTTCTGACATGGAGATTATAATACTACATTTAAATGGCATTTCAAAGCTGATAAAGCTGTTTACATATATTATCACAAGTTTCACAATAGGATATGAGGTAAGTACTTCAGGTATAATTTACCCCCATTTTACAGGTGAGAAAACTGAGACTCAAAAGAGTTCAAATGACTTGCCTATGGCCCCATAGCTAATAAATGTCAGGTGCAATTTGTGTCTAATATGCTTCAGGTACAAATCGAGGACCCAGGTCTTCCTGATTCCAGGTCCAGTGGTCTAGCATGAACTGTCAGGAACATAACAAAAACAACGTTAACATATATTAGTGTCAAGTAAGTAATTCAGATGGAATAATGAACATTCCCCTGAGGTGAAAAAAGCAAAACTGCATGTCTGATCAGGCCATGGTGCAGCATTCAGGATTATGGAACATCCACTTTCCCATTTCCTCATGTTAACAAAAGGACATCAGCTCAGTATTTCTGTTTAATTTATTATCCCTTAGTTTCTCTTTTTGCTATCTAGGGAACTGAATGGCACAGGTACACAATCAAATTCTTTCAAAAACTAGAATACTGTCACTCTCATTTGTCTAATTATCACAGCCCATGAAATAGAGCTTTTAGCTTTGCCAAAGAGGAAATTATTGATAATTCAATACTGCCACATAGTCTGGGAAGATTAACTAAAATTAGTCAAAACATTAAATCAGCATGTAATTTTATAAAAATGAGATCGACTACCCTGCTGCTACAGAGAGGCTAGAGCCCCTGCTGAGAGTTCCCGTTACACTTAATTGGGGAGCCATTTACCCTCAAAAAGAAAATACACACAATTCCTTTTTAGGTCAAGTCTAATTTTAATTAACCATCTCAAGCAAACAGATTCTACCTTTTAGAGATCTGTTATGTTTGCACATCTGAGATAGCAGAGTTAAGACAGCAGATGGGAATTTCATTTCCTAGCCTTGACAGTAAGGTCGAGGCATATTGCAAACTGAAGAATACATTAGTCTAAATAAAACAATTTAACCTAATGATTTTTTAAATTAACAAAGCTTCCCTTACTGCTTGTTACTGGAATCCTAACAATTATAAGCAAGGAAAGTAATTATACTTTGTGTGTCTGTTGTACCTTTGAGAATGGAGATAAAAGAATGAAGTAAAATAGCATAAAAGTGGCCAGACTTAATTTAGTATGTTTTTTGAGGAAATCAAAAGAGTACAAGAAAAAGTATTCATGTAGTTAGTTTCCTGGCTTAGTTTCCCAAGTGTGGGAACTTAATAAAATTCAGTTGCTATAGGTCAGAAAGTTGGTGGTAGGATTAGATAATGTAAGATTTCTAACATGTACTCCTTTGTTCTGGGCAGACTTAAATTCCCTCAACAGATAGGCTATATTTTCATAAGCATTGTTAAAACATACATAGCTAATTAAATACAATCTATCTGGCTCATCCTAAGCCTTTATACAGTGAACTCTCAATGATCTGCCCTAATGAAAATAAGCAGTGGTTTAGATAACCCAAAACAGTAGCTGATTCAGAAATCTCATTTCTGACTAGTTGTACATTATCTAGGTTTTCCCCCAAGATACAATAAGTAGCAACATAAGATTTGCCATCCTAATTCTGTTTTGCTTCGGGTAATAGTAAAATTAAATTTCATCCCCCAAGCACACATTGTTTGGATAGTTATGGAAATGTCCTGGGAGTACACTGTGCTGCTGGAGGCTGGAATTAAAATTTTGTTGCAGATAATTAGTACATGCATAATCAAAAGTTGCCTATACTTGAAGTCATTACTAGAAGTCAAACAGCTCCTTCTGGAAACAGCATAGGTCTGGGAGCTAATTAATTCATTTTGTTCAAAGATCCTCCAAACAATGCAGGGCCCTAGTAAAAATTATCTGGACAAGATGCTGTTGAAGAAAACGAACTGGGCAGAGTCATGAAACCAGATACATCATAAACAGAAAGAACCACCACCACAAAACAATAAAAAATGTTGCAAAATTACAAAGAACAGTCTTGACCCCAAAGAAAAAATAGGAGACAACCCCCCAACTCCTCTGCAGAGGTTGTGGGGCATCTTTGGGGGAAGATAGAACATTGCATGTGATGTTAGACTTTTTTTCAATATATAGACCAGTTTTGCTGACTTTTTAAAAAATTCTTTGTTATAAGAAATGGCAAGGAGGGAGGGAAGAACAGAGGAAATCTTTGGTTAGATGAAGGATATCAATAAAAATGTATCTTTACAAAAAAGACTAGACCCTAGAAAGTGATGAGGTAAGAAATAGGTATGAAATCTAAAGTTCCTCAGAATATCTCAAGATAGTGTTCTCCTCTACCCTCTCACCCTTAAGAATGAAGTCTTTGTTCAATGGTCTACCTTTTTGTGTAAAAACAGGGAGCTACTGGAAGAGAGTGGACTGACCGCAGACACTCTGCAGAAGATAGGAAAAATCACATTTGAATTTGTAGGTAATACCGAGTTAATGGATGTGCACATCTTTAATGTGGATAGTTTTCATGGAACTCCAAAAGAAAGTGATGGTAAGCAGTATGTATCTGTTGTTGGTAGTGTCAGACAAGTTACATCTCTTTCCATCCAAATTCAGCATGGAAAGCTAATTTAGAAGTGAGTGTTAACTGTCACTAGGGTTAAGACAAACTGCTATTTACAACACTGATTTCTATCTAGCTGATTTTTCCAGACAGCCCTACCTTAGCTTTACTGCTTTAGCTAGCTATCTCCAAATGGAACCAAGCCTTGGGTAAAACTTTCCTCATTTCCCTGCAATTGGGATCAGGGCATTTCTACAATATCCCCACTGTGATGAAAATGAGATAGGATTATAGGATGTATGGTAGAAAGTGATCCTAAAGATAGTCTAATTAAACCCCTTCATTTTAGAGCCCAAAAAGTACACTGCTCAGGGTCAGACCTTTGATATTTGTTTCCAGGAGGACCCTGTGGAACTTCTGGGCATGACTTTAAATCTAGTCAACCTTCAGTTAATCACAGACTGATTATTTGAACCATGGTTATCTGACACCAAATTTACCACTCTTGCCCCTATACCACAGATGCCCCAATTAGTGACCCTTATGTGTAAGATTAAAGAGCCAGAAATGTTGATGGATTTATGTTCAAAAGAGTAAAGGTAAGTTATGTTTTTAAATAAGCAAATCCTTTTGTTCTTTCCACTGTTACAGAAATGCGCCCCCAATGGTTCCAGTTGGAACAGGTTCCCTTCAGTGACATGTGGCCAGATGACAGCTACTGGTTTCCACTAATGCTCCAAAAGAAGAAATTCCATGGATATTTCAAGTTCCAAGGACAAGACACCATCCTAGACTACACACTGAATGAAGTAGAAATTGTCTGAAGAGAGAGACATCAGTGCCATTAACACATGACATACTTGAGCCCATACAGGCTAGGGAACCTTTGTTTCAGCTGTGGGTAATTTAGGCAGGGGGTTCACTGTCTTTAGTTTTTAAGGCAATTTAATACTCAGTATTTGTTTGGGGAGCAAGAGGAAGCTGTAAGACCAGAAATTTTTTTTGTAATTGTACATATGTCACATAATAAGGACCCCCACTTCCCCTTGATATGGTCTAGGAATCACAAATACATTTTGGTTCTAAGGGAGAAGTGACAAGTGTGGGGTGATTCACAGTACAGCACTTGCCAGTAAAGTGTGCATTAGCCCACACTAGGGGGCAACAGCCACTACAGAAAAGTGGAATGTTTTCAGATTTTCTGGAAACACAAGTCTTTTTCTTTTCTGTTGAAGATTCTGACAAATAATGGAAAATAATGACATGTCTTGTGATTTGCAAAATGCTGACTGGATTCTTACTGGCCTTACTAAATTGAGAGATTATTTCAAAATCATCCCTTTGAATTCATATACTGAGCCGGTCAGAATCTTTCATTCTTTAAGGAGAAAATAACTCTCTGCTTCTTCACATGGTGATCTTCCCTCATTTAATTCCAGTAATATCTTACCAGATTATAAAAGTAATAATAATAATATGAGCACACATTTACAAAGCTTTTTTATATTTTACAAATCATTTTCACAAACATCTTATTTTATCTAAGTCACCCTAAGATGTGCCTCTATTTTACATGAAGAAACTGAGGCTACAGAGGTTGAATGACTTGCCTGAGGTCATAGGGTTCACAGGTGGTAGAGCCAGCTGTAAGAACTTGGGTCTGTATCCTAGCCTGGTGCTCTTTCCAATGCCCCACACTGCCTCAACATAGTTCTACAAAAGGTAGGCAAGCAGAGAAAGTCAGCCACACACAGTAACTGAAACCTTTTACAAAAACATTTAATAGCATTTGTTCATATATATATATGTTTTATTGATAAAAGTTTTGGAGTGTAATCATTTGTAAACATTTTCCAGTTCATCAGCTGTAGTAATAACTAATTCCTGCAATTTGATAAAGTGCTTCATACATAAAACTAGTACAGCAAAGCAAAAGAAATGGTAAGTTGGCCCAACCAAGAAAAGGTCTTCATTTCAGTCAAACCAACTTCCCACTCAGTCCTCACATTAGGCTTCCTAAGATGAATAGAGTGTTAATTAAAGGGTTTTTTCCAGGTATTGCTGAATAAGCCAAAGCTCCTAAAGAATGGGTGGGATCTAAGAACCATTAAGGACCATTTAATATAACTTTTCACATCTATACCCCATTTGTGACAAAAATCTTCAACGTCAAAAGGCTCTGAAATATAATCCCAGATAATAAGGACACTTAACGGGTTTCCAAAATTATTTATGCTATTAAGTTTCAGTGTTGGTCTAGGCTTGTTATAGAAATCACTTTTTTCGAATGACAAGCATAGTCCCATATTCAAAACAATGTACTCAGACTCATTTTTTACTGAAGCTGATGATTTTTAGACACTGACATTAGGCATACCAATGGCCTTCCTTTGAAGGGGTTGGTTCCTCTGAAGAACACGGGGGAAGCTAGTCTAGGTGGAGAGCTTTTAGATGTGTGAGCATGGACCTCGACCTGCAAAAGCTGTTCCCAAGACCTAGACTAACTCCCTGGGAATTGGGTTATCTCCACTGTTCCTACAGTTAGAGATGATCTAGCAAACAGCTCCTCAGGAACATCTAACAATCATATTTGACTCAGGACTAAGAAATTATGTTGAAGAGGAAGCTCCCTGATCTACACCTGTTATTCTACAGTTAAGGTCGTTTCTCTCTCATTCTGTCACCCTGGGATGGTCCCCCAAAACTCGGAGAATACCATTAGGATGCACAGTACCAACAGATGCATCAAAAGGCCTCCACCGCTGTTTACAATTATAATGTTCCTAAAGAATCCATTAAGAAAAAAGATAAAATCCAAAAGAGAATAGGTCCCCATTTAAATAAAACACAGCCCATTAAGTGTAAAGTATGAGGATTATTTTTTTCAACTCTTGATACACTGGAATCTCTTTAGTAGGGGACAAGCAGAAGTCTGGCTCTACTTGTTGCCATGGTCAGTTCCACTGTAACTGGGCAGCAGGGGTGCTCCCAGAAGGGGCAGCTGGAATGGACTGCAAGCTTCTGTCTGAAAACTGAAGGACTATAGTTTTGAAGAAGAGTCCATTTATTCATTTGTCCTTTGTGTATCGAGAGTGTTGCTCCTCAAAGGGAGTCTACTGTTGGTAGATACTGAGAAAATAATGTCCTAACACATCTGATTTATAAACTCATGACTTTGTCATGATTTACTACAAGCTTCCAAAGCATCACAATTAGTACAGAAGAGAAGAAAACAAGTTTTCAGAAACTCTTTGGTAGTACATTTCCTTCAAGTGAGTGTTTTAAATTAGAGTAACATCTCTCTCTCTCTCTCTCTTTATATATACATATATATATATATATATATATATATATACACACACACATATATATATATATATATATATATATATATAATAAATTATTTTTTTTTAATTTTAAACACATCTCTCTTAAATTCCCTCTAGCTAATGACTCTGGCCAGCATGCCAACTGAAATTTCTTAGATTAATATCATTTGACAGCTATCCCTTGAGGAACCACAGGTCTTCTGGCTGTTTACTTTTACTTTTCATGGAGGCACACATTGAATACATCTGCAATGGTCTCAAATACTGAAAGGAGAAACCTCCTCCTCCCACCCCCCATTCCAGTCTTTCATTATGTTTAGAACATCCAAGACAGGAGGTCTAGATCTCTCTACAATATGCACTCTAACCATGGCCCAGACTGTGGCATATTGTCCTAGGCTCTCTACAAAGACTGGAGGCCCTAGGCCAGCACGATAACATGCAACTTTGGGGCCCCAAGGGACTTCAATGTAATAGCAGTGAAGGTGTGTTTAGCTCACTTTGCAGCTGTGTAGGCAGGAAGGAAAAGGCCCCAGGGGGTTTGTACAAATAAATTTTATGTCATATGGCTTAAGCAAATCACAGTATAAAATGGAGCAGCACAAAAAAAAAGTATTGATCCATTCAAAGTGGGTAGAGACTTTATTTCTGTAAAAGGGGAATGGATGGCAGGCAGAGACCCTGAAGGCTAAGAAGAGTCCACCTTTCTCTTGGCCAAATTTAGCTACAGACCAATAACTCTCAAAACAGAACTTCGGCACTATTTTTAGGCTCTAACTAAAGATATGCATCTTCTCTTTTCAGAGGATAAGCCTGTTCAACAGTAGAAACAGACCATCTTCCATCACATGCTGTTTTAAATGTCACATTCACTTATACAAACAAAGGTCAGCTTTCCTAGTAGGAAGGAAGATGTGAGCTTTAGGGCAGTAAGTTACAGATCCAGGTGCCATTAGTGTTTTCTACCAAGTGACCCTTATGCCTCTAGCTACTTCATGAATGCAAAGCAAACATCTGAAAAATGTGCTTACATGCCACATGGAGTACATGCTCACAAGTCTTACACTTCCACTCATATCCTCTTTGAATGAGTCAAATACAGCAACATGCTTTGAGGCCAGACCCCTTGTGCAGCCATTTAAGTCCAGCCCTCATTTTGCCTGTGCCAGAAAAATGAATTAGCTTATCTGCATAAATCAAGTATTTTTGGTTATTTTGATTCTTTCTCCCATAGCTAGCGAGAATACTTGGTGGCTTCTATTTTTATTCTAGAATCCTTCATGCTACATATTTAAAAACTTAGAGAAGGTCAGAATCAACATTAAAATAGCAGAGAAAATCTCCTTGGAACCTGACAAATACTCCATGAGGGCAATATTTTCAGAATGCATGCTGCCCATTTACAGCCTTTTCCAATTTTTCTGTCTTTATAAGAATGAGAAAAGCAAAGTCTAAACAGAACGAGAAGTCCCTGATGTGGAGAAGTCCAGTTTATTTTCAACCCCATAGAGAAATGTTCCACTAGGGATTTGGAATAGAAGCATATTAAGGCAAGAAATGACACCACCCATCCCTACAGGTCTCCACCACAGCACATCTGAGAACTCTCCCACATCATCACAAGGTGGAAAACAGAGCTGAAGAGTTACACAATAAACCCCATTGAGTAAGAGCTGGGCTAAGGAAGGAAAGGACTGAAATTAGCAGGAATGTTCCACTACCTCAACCAGGAGTTGTGCCATCAGGAAACTAGCTGGTTGTTTTATTTTTTCTTTAATTCCCAAAGAACACTCTCTTGTAAAGGCCAGTATATTTTAAAACACAACCGAAATAAAAATCATAACCCTCTGATTTCCTCATCTCATCTTCACCACACCCTTCTCAACTTGGTATATTCTGCACTCTCCAATATAAGCAACCAAAATAAAAGTGTGATATCTTTTTAAAGAATTAGTTTTTAGCACATGACAGACTATTCAATTAGTTCACTTTAATATGCCAAACATTTTGGTCCTACTCTTGTGCAAAATAACAGATCATGCCATTAGTACAGAAGAGGGGAAAAGTAGAGGAATGGAAAATGAAATATGGCAGGCCTTGCCAAATTCAGAATGAGTCTGTAATATACTAAGGTTCCTAGTGTTTGTCTCTAGCTGCCTGGAATAGACACTGTAGCTTGTCCCACAGAAAAGTAATACTGTTTGTACCTACCAGCTAACAATCCCCTCCATAAGCAAAATGGTTCTCTTCTGTATACATACACATGTGTACACACACACACACACACACACACACACACCACACACACACACACACACACACTCTGAAATTGAAAAGTCCTAGTGTAAGGCAATTTGTTCAAGAGTATTCAACAGCATTAAATAGTTACTTTTTAGGCCTTTCACTGAAAACTCATTTTGAAAAAAAAAATTAACATTATTTCAACCAAAAGGCATGACTGCATTGAAATAAACCTGCTGCATATGTGAACTTCACCCTTTTCTCACCCTTAGTCTTCTGTTCAGTTAATCCTGACCCCTAGAAGGCAAAGAAATCCAATGAATTCTGATTAATTTTATCAGTCCCCTCATCTCAAAAGATTAAATAGCTGTTAGGAGGGGACTAACATTCACTCACAGACAACTTCACTTACATGAACTTCATCCTTAATCTCCCAGCCTTCCTGGAGACTAGGAGAACTGCCTTTCATACAGTACATCTACTGCTTCTCACTGCCAGAGAGGAAACCAGAGTGCATATATTGAGGAAGATGGCGGTGGAAGGAAAAAGTGGATGTAAGTAAGAGGAAAGGGAATTACCAGCCACCACAAGTGGCCCTTCAGCCCTTAGCATCTAAGCACATTCTCTTTCCTTCCCAAAGTACCCTACAGTAAGGTGTCTCTCAATCTTGCCTCTGAGCACTATGAAATGAAGGAAGATGAGCAGAGGACAAGACAGGAAATTAGGATCTGAGTCTCATCCCCTACCACTGAATCAGGGTCTTCTGCTCAGGTTTCAGTCAGTCCAAACATCTGTGAGCACCAGAATGGCAGCTATTGTTTTAAGGGAAATACACAATGATACAGTTTGGTGATATGTTTTAGTAAGGCTGGAAGGGTACTCTTAGCACTGCCTAAAACCCAGGCAGTCCTCTCCAGGAACTAATGAGAAAACACATTGCCCTCCTGTGGTGATCGTGGCGGTGTTGGCATGTTATTGGGTCCTGCAAAGAGGCAGCTTAACTTGGGCTTCAATTCATTCCAAACTTTACTCATCTGAAGGGGAAAAGAAAAAAAAAGATCAGAATTCTGTTGAAATATATACTAAAAAAAATCTCCCTAAGTAAAAGGAGCAGCAGAGAACAGAACTGCTTTGGGGGGTAGCCCCTTAAGATCTAGAATACTGAGCAGGTCAAGGTGATCAATCTGATCAGGCTACAACTAGGCATGAAGCCAGATATATCCACTCCCTTCTTTTATTATATATTTTTTAAAAAAATTATTTATTTTTAGTTTTCAACATTCACTTCCACAATATTTTGAGTTCCAAATTTTCTCCCCATCTCATCCCTCCCCCCACCCCAAAATGGCATGCATTCTACATACCCCTTCCCCTAATCTGTCCTCTCTTATCCCCTTCCCCTTCAATTTTCCTGTAGGGCAGGACAGATTTCTATATTCCATTGCCTGCATATCTTATTTCCCAGTTGCATGTGAAAAAAAAATTTTTTTTAAACACTTGTTTTTGAAACTTTGGGTTTCCAATTTTCTCCCTTTCTCCCTCCCCACCCACACTCACTGAGAAGGCAAGCAATTCCATACAAGTTATACATGTGCAGTCATGCAAAACACTTCCATAGTAGTCATGCTGTGAAAAACTAACCATATTTCCCTTCATCCTATCCCGCCCCCTATTTATTCTATTCTCTCTTTTGACCCTGCCCCTCCTTAGAAATTAAAACATGAAATATCTAAATACTGCTAAAAGATAACAAGTGGAGGAAAGACCAGGAATAGGAAATCACAGGGATAGAAATATTGCAATTTTTCAGTTCTTTGCTGGATCGTTTCCAACTGTTCCATCTAATGATTACCTAGAAATTGGCCATGGAGATTATTCAGCAGTATTGTGCTGATGCAAGTTAAATGCCAAGTTTTCTTTGTTATTTGGGAATGAATGTTTTTTCCAATAAGTGGTTTATCACTCAAAGGCTAGAAATCGTTATTAGGCAACTGTGTCATAATGAGATTGGGACTGTAGTATATATTCAGTGCCCACTAGTTATATGGTGCTACTTTAAGTACTAGGCTCCAAAATTAATAGCGACCACAATAGCAAGGTCTTCCTGACCTTGTCTCCCATATTCTCCCCAGTATTTCAATATTTCTTTGAAAGGCTGGCTTCATTGTTTAAGAAATATGGGCTAAAAAGCCAGAAACAAACTACTGTATATATGCATATAAAGGTACATACAAATGTAGGCAGAGGTGACAGGTTTGCTATAAAACTCTTGTAAAAAAAAAAGTTTATAGCTTTTCATTTCAAAGGATTGAAAATACCATCCCTAGCCCCTGAAGGTTTTGGGAAAATCCAGTCTATGTTCTTCAACTCACCCCTGCTTTGGAGTCAACCTTTCCTCTGAACTCTTTTAAAAGTCTGGTGCTAATTCTGTGCAGAATTCAGAATTAGCTTTCTCACCTCACTCAGAAAGAAATATACAGTTCCTATCTATGTAGCCCAACAAAAGCATACATGAAATCTGAGCTTGAAAATTCTAGCTCCAAGTTGGATTAGTGGAGCTTGAAAAGAATTTCATTTTTTAGCTTCCATACTTAACCCACACCCAATATCTTTTCTAGATTTTTTTTTGTCCACAGGACTAATAGCAAGGAACATCAATCTTAAAGCCAGAATAACTGGAGAGTAAAATGGCAACCCTTAGCTACATAACTAGGGTGGATGTCAAGATAGAATTAAACAAGAAAGATGGGCAAGTAATCACCTCTTTGTGGCCTTGTATCTGAGAGTTGACAAAGGCTCCTAAGATGTGTGAAGTAAGAGGCAGGTAGACATGAATAAGCTGGGTCTCTTGATGCAGACAGTATAAGGAGAAATAATTCCGGAGCTCCATCGTCTGGATTGCATTTTCTTGCTGAAAAGGAAAGAATCTCTGAGAAGCATGCCTAGATATATCTCAAGAGGAGAATCATTTTTTATTAAGATATATATCATCCCAGAAGGTAGGGCTGATCCTTTTTCATTCATTTGACCAATGAAACCAAATAGAAGTAAAATTGCCTTAACATAGCATCTGGAAACTGTCAGTTGGGGGGGCAAGGGAACCCACTGGAGAGAAAGTGCAAAATCAGTTGTAAAAACAACCCTTTCAGATATCCACTACTCAGCACATCGACATACCACACAATTCCCATTGTATCACCAGCCCTGCTTATTAACTACATTTTGGGGGCTGTTCATACAATGGGGCTCAATTGGAGAAATCCAAGCTGATTTTCCAGCCCACAGGAAGTCTAAAATTCCCTCTCGCCTATCTCCTGCCCTGCTTCATTACAGTCTGTCTGTCTACATATCCTAAGTCTGTCTCCTAAGGCTGCTTTTCTTCTACCATGTCATTTTGCACTCTTGGCGGCCAGGCTGCTACCTCCACAATGCGAGACTCCAGCTGTTCCACACTCTCTGGTTCTCTATTCTGCACCGTGGCACTCATCATTTGCTTCTTCATCATGCTGTACTTGTGCAATGCTCGCTGGTGCTTGTGAAGCACACCCTTTTCATGTCTTTCACAGAGATCCTGGAATAGAAAGGGAAATAAGGCATACTCACTAACACCCTCTCCATCCCTCTACTAAAAGCCAGATTGCAGAAGAACCCAAAGACAAAATAACTGCACAGGTCCCCTACTTCTTCTACTTTCATTTCATTTCCTGGGGAGGAAAACTGCTGGCAAGGGAGGACAGAGTGGAAGGGTGTGGAATATAGAGCACTGTGTGGGAATTACACCGATTTCCAGAAAATGACTTTAAAATAATTTGATTCATTTTGTGCTCACAAAAATGCAGAGCAGGGCAGAGGATGAATCTGAACCCATAAAACCTCACAAGGAAATATTAGCTTTAATTTGACCCAACACTCTCATGATTTTTGTGGAGAGTTGACCATGCAAATCAACAAAGGTCCTGAACTCTGGTCCTAAACAGTCTGAGCTTTGAAAGAAAGTCAGACAAAGGATAGAGAAGTTTAATAAAAATGAGATGTGCAATCCACAGCCTACAGACATTAGTTAATTGCCACCAGAATTTTGAAGGGCCAGTATCCAAGTGAAGAAATACTGAAGACTTTCTACATTTTTCTTGAGGCTTTTTTTGCTTTTGGATGAGGCAGTCAGGGTTAAGTGACTTGCCCAGGGTCACAGAGCTAGTAAGTGTCAAGTGTCTGAGGCCAGATTTGAACTCAGGTCCTCCTGACTTCAAGGCCAGAGTTCTATCCACTGTGCCACCTAGCTGCCCCTTACTGTAAGGTGGTTTTTTTTCGTGAGGTATTTTAACCCAATGTATCTTGGAGCATCCCCCAACTAGGAATCTCATGAAAAGACACAGACACAGAATCTTAGCATTGGAAGGGATAGCAGAAGTCATCTAAGACCTCAGTTTAACCTAACCACCCACGTAGTGATCCCATCTGCATTATCTATGACAGATGGTCAACCACCTTGTGCTTCAATACTTCCACTTGTGGGAACCTCAAATTGTTTTAAAAAAGAAAGTATGTCTTTATTGAGTCCAAATCTGCCTTCCTATAAAATATCAAACGAGTTCTGCCTTCCAAAGGTATAGAGAAAATGTCTAATTCCTCTTCCTCATAGTATTTTTAAAATACTTAACAATTATTGTGTACCTCTCTCCCACCCCAATCTTCTCTTTTCCAGGTTAATGATCCATTCTTTCCTTGATCATGTATTATGAAAGAAAATCTGAAATCCAGAAGACTATGGGCCAGAATAATGCAATGAAAGCAGAAGTGTCCTGGGGAGTTCACCACGGATATGATGTTATGTTTTACTCTCCATTTTGCTCTAAGACTGACTTCTCTACTAGTTTTCTATTCCCTGAAAAAAGTCACACCCTGGAAAAGTCACAAGACCATTCTGAGAAGCTCTCTCTCTGGCAAGGAAACAGACAACACTCACTTTATAGGACTGGAGCAAATCCAAGAAGAGATTCAACTTCTCCACCACATCATTCTCTTCCTGTTTACCCTACAAAACAAGGGGTGAATTAACCAGCACATCCGTCACACAGATAAACCCAGTCAGAAACCCATCATTAAAATTTCTCAAACTTACTTGTTACCTAGAGCCTCTTTCCAAACCCCATCTAGAGTCAGCCCAGCGTCTTCCTTTAATAGAAGCTAGTTTAGGGGGCAGCTAGGTAGATAGAGCATGGGCCCTGGATTTAGGAGGACTTGAGTTCAAATCAGGCCTCAGACACATAACACTTACTAGCTGTGTGACCCTAGGCAAGTCACTTAACCCCACTGCCTAGCCAAAAACAAAAACAAAAAACAACAACATAATAGAATCTAGTTTAGAACTAGAGGCTTAGACCTTAAAGATCTTAGTGCAATCCCCTCATTTTACAAATGAGGAAACTGAGACCCATAAAGGCTAAGTGAATTGTCCAAGGTTCTATTGGTAGTAAACTGAAGAAGTGATATTTGAACTTAGATTCACCAACTACAAATCCAGAGCTCTTTTTACTAGACAGATGCCACTGCAAACCAGCAGTACGGCACACTGTCATCGTCCTCATAATGCTACAGAAGGCAGGATAAGCATTGGGAGTAAGTCAAATAAGGCAAGAGCATTACAGCTGACTGACAATATGAACAGTCTTGGCTCTAAAATAGATGCCTGTCCATTTCTGCTCAACACTTTGCTATTTCAGCTTGAAACTTCTACTGTCATCTTCTTAATCTCCAAACAAAGGCAAAAGGAAATATAAATCATTATTTTAGTTCCATTTGACTGAGCTCTTTGAGAGCAGGGACTATTTTTTGCCTTTCTTTGTATTCCCAGTATTTAACACAGTGCTTGTCAAATACCGTGCTTAATAAATGCTTGTCTACTTGATTAGTTTTTTTTTTAGAAAGGTAATAACATTATGTTATTTTCAGAGTGACACAAGAAAAAGAAAACACTTGCCCGGAAGTCAGGGTCAATTAACTAGCTATGGGACCTGAGGCATGTTAAATTGGTACCAATGCTCTAGGCCCAAAAACATTAAGTAGTACAAAACTGCTATTCAGGCCAATGACTGGAGCTTTCAAGTGGCTCGGAGCAACAAGAGGAAGAAAGAGAAGTGGATAGCACCCACTACTCCTAGTATCTTACGCTAAAACAGATCCATGGTGCTCACATAGAACAATCAGCTACAATATGGAATCCTTTCTTTCTACTAAGACTTTGTACATGAAACTGGAGATAGATCCCAAGCAAAAATACTTCCATTTCCATTCCAGACACACCTAGAGCCACATCCACCAGCTATCACCACACTATTAATCCAATGTGCTACAGAACAGATTGAACTCTATGCTCTCTGATGTCCCTTCTACTCTTCAAATCTAAAATCTACCTCCCAGTGAGTTCATCTAATAAGGCTTAATGGAAAAAGTGAGATGTTAAGAGATATGTAAAATATGGAGAGGAGAGAGCTCAATAGGCTGGGAGAGTACATAGTATTCCCACCTTACTTGTGAGAGAAAACTGAAGGACTTTCTTACTGGCCTAGAGAAGATGGCTAACTGCAGCTCTTACTTCGACTCCTACAATTTACCAGTGAGTCCAGTTTACATACAGATGCTTTGAACCATAAGGCCATAAAATGTCAGTGTGCCAGTTGCCTTCAACAATTTTCAAAATGCCAACTTTATAATTAAGAAACAGCTATATACTTCTAATCAGAATAATTTCCCCCTCATCGTCATGAATTTTATTGTAACATTGCTAAAAAGTTCTAAGGGTGCCAATTAGAGTACAAAATACTTTGGAAAATTTTCTATAACGTATACAGCAGTATTTCCAGAAGAATATACAGCAAATGACATTTCACTTCCTGGCTGTTCCCCCTAAAACTCAGCCTCCAGGCATTAAGAATCAAAACAGACTTTACTATGTTAGAAACCATGAGGTTAGAAGGTCCCTGAAAGATTATGTAGAGCAACATCCTCATTTCACAAACAAGGAAACTGGAGCCTAGTGAAGTTATGGGCATAGCTGAGAGTCATCCTGCACAAAAGACACTTAATATATCCTTGACTGAATAACTGATAATGGCAAGGCCAGGATAAGATTCTCCTAACTCCAAATTCAATGCTCTACCAACTATGCCAAAATGCTTCTTGTTACCTAAAATTAAAGCAAATCCGCACTTCTCCATTTCTATTTCCAAACTCTCCAAAGCAAGGAGGCAAACTGTGGGTCTACAAAACTGCAGAATTAAATCTGATGGCTACTGGCATAGGCAGATCCCTAAAGTCAATGTTATGGTGAATATTTAAAGGGAAAGAGAAAAGATAAACACAGTAACAGCAAAGCAGGAAGGAAACCCAGGACTTTCCAGGGCCACAAACAAACCCAATTATCTCTTAATCATAAAACTCACCAATGGGCACCCAACCATTAGACGGGAAAGCCACCAACTCTTCAGCATATGGCTCAGATCATGACACTTCAGTTAATCGCAGTTCTTATTACTTAAGTTAACTATGGAATTAGGAAGTCAAAGATGGCAGCAGAGCTTTTAAAATATTCAAACATAATCTGCATTATTTACTGAAGTCAGAGCCACACATTTTGGGAAAGAGAAGTAGACTCTGTCTCCTCCAAAGTCACACAATAGTTTTATAATAAAATAAATACACAGATGAACCTTGTTTATTTCTCATATCCTTAAAGTGACAGCCTTTAAAATTCTATATTGATTTCTAAAAATAGCAAATGGCTATTACAAAAGCATTTTCAGTAGTTTAATTGAGTATTCAGGATCAAAAAAAGAGGCAACACTGGGGGCTTAGTTACATTCCGATGAGCTAGGTCACTGCCTAACCTAATACAAATTATACAGACAGTAAGTAAACTAGAAAGCTCCAGGTTCATCAAGGAGTAACAGTCTAGAGATTTCAAGGTTACATTTTCAAGACTGGCTTATGCCTTCTAACCTCTGGCAAAGTAAATTCTCTTAAGAAATCCAACCCAAATTTATTTTTGCTATCAGCAAACAGCTGAACTGGCACATGCTAAGCTACCTGGAATTTATAAGGATTACACAGAAGACAGTTTTTCCCTCTCATTGGACGAAAAACTTTGAAGTCTACCTAAGAAAGAGACGTTCCTAAAGACTATAATAGAGAACATTCCTTAAAAATAAACACCCAGAGATTCTAGATAACTTACCTGTTGTGCAGCTTTATCAGCTAGCAGTGCAAATTCAACAGATAGGCCTTTCAAGGCCTGTTTTAGCGTCCCCCATGTGCTATTACTCATCGTGGCCCAGGAGGGAAGTGGTGTTGTGTCAGATCCTAAAGCACTGAGTACAAGAGGGAAGAAAAAATTTTCATTCATCAAACCTTTAATTTTACTAAACAAAAAAGTTTGATGACTGACATGGTCATATGCACACACATATTCAAATGGATTTGTGGGCTCATTATCTTCAGAGATCCCTCCAATGAGTTAGATAGCAGCCCATCCACGCTTGCCTCTCTTAAGCTACTCTTGTTTATGCCCTCTCATAAATTCAGAACCAGGGGTCCACCCAATATGCTGGAGGCCTACTTCTCTTTCCCCCAACATCTCAAGGAGACCACTCTAGTTGCCTCTAAATGAAGAAATGGTCACTCTTCAGAACATTAAAATGTACATTCTCCCTAAGTCACCCAATTATGAGATACTTATATAATGCTTTACATTCATTATTTCATTTGATACTCCTGAGAACATTCTGAGACAGCTACTATTATTATTATCCCCACTTTTAAGATAAGAAGACTAAGGCCTGAATAGGTTAAATGACATGGCCATGGTCACAAAGAGAACAAAATGGAAGGCAGGAGATGAACCCAAGCCTTTCTTGACTCCAAGCTCAGCAATCTTTTCCCCAGAGAATGCTCCTCAAACTCAAAACATCCAGAATTTCCCACTGTGGAGCTTTCTTCTACCACCTGCCTTAATTCTTTCCCAAATATGAGGAGGTCAGCAGCATTGTCAATGGCTCGGGATGCAATCCTTTCAGCCCGATCTCTAAGTTTATAGAAGCTATTATAGATATTTCTGATGAGTTCTCGACTGGCAGCAAATTGTGCCTGGATGTCAGCTGGGAGGAAGTCCTAAAACAGAGAAAAAGCAAGAAAAGAGAACAAAAAAGAATTGTTAGTGAAACTGAAATAATTCCCACAAGGTATAAGTTAATAAAACAAACATATCACCAAGAGAGACATTAAGCACTCCTTGGTCTAGCCATACACAAAGCCAAAGTCCAATGAATAAAATCTGAAGGCACTTCCCTAACCCCACATTTCTTCTCCCTGATGTCTCTTTTTTATCTCCTAAAAGAGGAGAAAGACAAATCACATCCTGCCCAACAAAATTACTAAACTAAACAACCTTACAAGAACACATTGGTCTCAAAAAGCAATAGAAGTGTTCAATTTGAAGTAAAACATCAAAAAGCACCCAGTGAGCCTCAAACTTATAAACAGCCCCTTCTTAGGTTCTTTACATGAGAAAGACTTCTTTTCCTTCCTCTCACTCATTCTCCCTCCCTCAGCCCTATCCATATCATAAGCCATCTGGTTTATGAATTCTAACCTAAGAACTTAAATCCTTTTTTTTAATAATTTATATACTATTTTTTAATTTACATTTTAAAATTTAAACGATTTTCTGGGAACAAACTCTGTGAGGTAATGATGGTTCTTTTTTATTAGACGTGAATCTATTTAAAAATCTCCAAAAAGTCCAAATGTTCATTTTTTAAGGGTAAGCCACAAGCTCATTTTAGTGAAAGCAAACTGAATATTAGTTATTTTGCAACATCAAAGTGATTCCATGAGTCTACACAGCCTCCAAGTCTCTCAGACCTTCTATGTGGAGGTTCCACTGAATTCATTACAATAGCGATGGACATTTTATATTCGTAATGATCCAACATCCGTGCAATACTTTCATGAGACACCCCATGTTTATTCCTCTTTTCTAATTCATAGGATCAAATTTCCACCATGTTTCAGATTTGTGGAACTCCACTCGTGTCCTTCGCCTATAGCCATTTCCACATAAGGTTTCATTTCCCAAGCTTGGGTATTAGTGTTGTCTATTATAACTGGAGATCTTCCCTGATCAATAGCTCTCTTTGCTCTGCTCTGGTTCCGGTTATGGGCATCACCAAGTTATCTAACGTTATACGTATACCCACTTCAATGTCGAAAATCACCATCAGTGCTGAAGACAATGCCACCACGATTCTGACCAAGCAGAACACTGTGAGGAAGGAGAAAAGCAAGCCTGGGAGGTCTGGGTTCTCCAAGCTGACTGCTGTGGATGAGCCCCTGGGGCTCTGTCCACAGCCGGCCCTAAGAATTTAAATCCTTAAAAACAAAGTGAGTTAAGAAAGAAGAACAATGATAAAGTATAGAGATATGTTTGGGGTTTTTTTTGAAAGTAAGGAAGAAGTTTAGGACATAGTGCTGAATCTGAATTGCTTTTAATACAAAAGATAACTTGCTCATTTATATTTTGGAATAAAGAAGGAAGAAGTCACAATTAAAAAGATACCTTGGCTCGAGTAGCCAGTTTACAAATCATGAATTCATCTCCAACACACTGGACTGATTCCTTCAGTTTATTCTGTATATCCTGGAAAAGAAACAAAGAATATGCTTAATCTTCTATTTGGGGAAAAAAAAAGGCAGGAGTGGGGGGGTGGGGGCGGGGAACTGTCAGAGTAATTTACCAATAAAAGGAAAGATACAGTCTTTCCTTCAAGAGAGGGAAGCTGTTTCCCTTTCCATAAAAAAAGCAGTTTTTTTAAAACATCTGTTCTTCTTTAAATTTTTAACTGAACCTGTTACAATCAGAGCAGCTATATGGAGATATGAAAGGCAGACTCAACTTTAGCATTAGTGAATAGAATGCCAACATTTGAGTGCAGGCAGGATTGCTTAGGACCAGCACTTCTTTGAAGACAAAAATGCATTCACTGGATCCTATGAGTTTCTACATGGAGCAATAACGACATGGGAACACTGCATACATATGACTAAAGCAAGAGGCCTAGTGAACACCATAACATAGGGCATAACCAAAGGAAAAAAGAAAGATGAAATCATCCAGGAAAAACAGTATAGAAACCATTATTCAGGTAGTCTCAGTGAAGTGGGAAAGAGCAAGCAAAGCTTCTCCTACTGATGACTGACCAGCATGAGGGAGCTTTCTTAGTATATTAAAAATCAGTTCCTAGAGCTAACTTTCATTTCATTAAAGCCCTACGTAAAGGCAAGGCATAAATAGTAATGGAGGCATCTAGGTGGCACAGTGGATACAGACCTGGTCCTAGAATCAAGAAAACCTGGGTTCAAATTTGGCCTCAGACACTTACTAGCTGTGTGACTCTGGGCAAGTCCCAAAAATGAGAAACCACTCCAAGAAAACCTCATGGACAGTACTGGCGTCCACGAGGTCCTGAAGGGGCAGATACGACTGAACAACATCTTTAACGGCAGCAATGAAATGTGTTTAACCTATTTTTATATACTTAAACACGGTCTTCCTATTTTACACGCTACTGTTTCTTTCTATCCACTTTCCTGCTCATCCTCTCCTCTCTTCTTTCCTTTTTATGCTTCACAGCTCTTACTAGTCCTTTCACTTCGCCTTCAAAAAAATTATAGTTAACCTGATGGTTAAAACACTCAAGTGGCTTTCAATACAGCAAAAAAAAAAAAATCACCAGTTGCTCTATGGTAAGTACTTTGGGGTGGGTTACAAAAAAGATAACACATAAGACACATTACCTGCAGCTCTCTTCAGCCAGCTATAGAGTTATACTTTATAGGCCAAAGCCTACCTCTGTCCCTTCAGTAAACGGAAGAAAAATAGGAAGCTAAGGTTTTTGTTCGCCTTGTCTTTCCTTGTACCATATAATACCAGTTTTTCTTACAGTAGGAAGAAGGAATACATTATAATATATTATATATAATGCTATATATTATATATAACATTATGCACACAATATATTAAGGAATATATTCTAAGGAGCTCCTTCCTGGTCTTGTCTGATCCATAGCAAGACAGTATTCTCAACAGCTGACTTTATTGTTATAACAAGGGAAAAGTGCTTCCCAAATAAGCCATTTCTTTCCTCAACTGCATATTTTAATACTGAAACAATTACACACCCTCCCATGCTTAGAAAAAGATTTTGGGAAGAAATCAAGATATCCACAGTCACGTGAAAAAATACTCCTTACCAACAATAAGAGACAAATTCAAATGAAAACATCTTGGAGGTTCTACTTCACACCTATCAGACTAACAAAGATGACCTCTCCTCTCCTCTTCTCTCCTCTCCCATTACCTGAGGGTGTTTTGCCCAAAGGAAAGTAAATATTGATGGCCAAAAGCTACCTAGTTAACTAGGGGTTTACTGACTAGATTTCTTTCTCAAAGTCCAAGCCTTAAAACTCAATTCACTCAGGAGCTCAGGGATTGGACAACAATTGGTCCCTGCCCAAGCACCACTTAAGGGTTATTTTTTGAGCCCCTCTTGCTCAGAGCGAAAGTAAATAGTAACACTTTCTCTTTTGGCCACCAGCCCTGAGGGTCTTTCCCCTCCCAGTTTGGTGTTTTTTTTTTTTATTATTATTAAAGAGGCCATCCCATGACTCACTTCTTAAAGAGGCCTATTCCCGGAATGGGTGTTGCCTCACTCAATGTGAGAACCTGAAAAGACCTTAGCTTAAAAGGCCCAAGCTCTCCCACTGCATCCTGGGCCTTCTCCAATCATCCTGATCTATATCTTGCCACTGGACCCAGATGGCTCTGGAGGAGAAAGTGAGGCTGGTGACTTTGCACAGCCCTCCCTCACTCAAATCAAAGTCAACTGCAAGTCATGTCATCATCTCCCTGATGTCATGATTCTCCTGACAAACCAAAACAAAGGGATAATGACAATTACAGAAGGGGCTGGCTGTAGGAGGATGCTAATGCACTAGTTTTTCTTTGTTTTGTTCAAACTCTCTCCCTCCCTTCCCACCCCACACTAGAGAAGGCCAACATTCTATAACTTAGTCATTCACAGTTATTCTTTAATTAATATTGGTGTTAATGTATACAACGTTCTCTTAGTTCTGCTTGTTTCACTCTTCGTTATTTCATTCAAGTCTTTCCATGCTTTTCTAAAATCAATCTGCTCATCATTTCTTACAGCACAGTATTATTCCATCACAACTTGTTTACGGCATCTCCAACTTCTAGTTCTTAGAAACCACAAAGACAGCTGCTATAAATATTTTAGAATATGTAAGTTCTTCTCCTTTTTCCCTGATCACCTTGGGAAAAAGACCTGACAGTGGTATTGCAGGGCCAAAAGATTTTATATTTCTTTAGGGATAATTTCAGATTGCTCTCCAAAATGGTTGGATAAGTTCAGAGTTCCACCAACAATGTAGTGTCCCAATTTTTCCACATTCCTCCCAACATTTGTCATTTTCCCCTTCTATTACTTTGGCTGATCTGATAGGTGTGAGATGATATCTCAAAGTTGTTTTAATTTGCATTTCTCTAATCAATAATTATTTAGAGCATTTTTTTATGACTCGAAACCTAGAGGTCCACACGTGGCCCACAGGTTCCCTCCGCCCCACTAGGTCATACATCCATTTTGACCTTATGTTGGTAAATGGTGTCAGATATTGGTCTATACCCAATTTCTACCAGACTACTTTCCAGTTTTCCCATTAATTTTTTACTAAATACTGAATTCTTATCCCACAAACTTAAATATCTGTCAAAATATAAGGTTACTATAATCTTTTACTACTGTGTGTTGTATGTCTACTTCATTCCACTGATCCACCTTTCTACTTCTTAGCACCAGATAGTTTTGAAAAGTATCATCTTATAACATAGTTTAAAATCTGGTACTGCTAAACCTCCTTTTACTTTTTTTTTCACTAATTCCTTTGCTGTTCTTGACCTTTTGTTTTTCCAAATGAATTGTGTTATTTTTCATAGCTCAAAAAAATTTTTTTGGTAATTTAATTGGGATGGCATTGAATAAGTAGATTAATTTAGGTAACTGTCATTTTTATTACATTGGCTCTGCCCACCCATGAATATCTAATATTTCTCCAATTACTTAAATCTGACTTCATTTGTATAAAAAGTGTTTTATAATTATGTTTATGTAGTTCCTGGGTTTGTGTTGGCATGTATACTCCCAGGTATTTTATGCTGTCTACAATTATTTTATATCTCTTACTATCTCTTCTTGAAGGGCTTTGTTGGTGATATAGAGAAATACTGATGATTTATATGGGTTTATTTTATATCTGCTAGTTTGCTAAATTTATCAATTGTTTCAGCTAGCTTTTTAGTTAAATCTCTAGGATTTTCCAAGTATCATTATATCACCTGCAAAAAAAAGATAGTTTTATTACCTCACTGCCCATTCTGATTCCTTACATTTCTTTTTCTTTTCTTATTGCTATTGCTAGAATTTTTAATACAATATTGAAGAATATTGGTGATGATGGGTATCCTTGTTTCACTCTCGATCTTACTGAGAAGGCTTCTAGCTTATCCTCATAACAAATAATGCTTGCTATTGGTATTAGGTAGATGTTTCTTATCATTTTAAGGAAAAATCCACTTATACCTATGCTTTCCAATGTTTTAAATAGGAATGAATGTTATATTTTGTCAAAAGCTTTTTCTGTATCTACTGATACAATCATATGATTTTTGTTATTTTTCTTACTGACATAATCAATTAGCTTTCTTTATGTTAAACCATCCCTGCATTAATGGTATAATACCACTTGGTCATAATGTATGATCTTTGTGATATATTATTGTAGTCTCCTAACTACAATTTATATAGTATTTTTACATCCATATTTATTAGTGAAATTAGTTTATAATTTTCTTTCTCTGTTTTCGCTCTTCCTGGTTTAGATGTCAGTATCATATTTGTTTCATAAAAGGAGTCTGATAGGACTTCTTTGCCTATTATTCCAAATAATTTATTTAATATTGGACTAATGCATTGTTAATGGAACTATAACTGGTACAGTCATTCTGTAAAGCAATTTGGAACTATACCCAAATATCAGTAAATTGTTTAGATCCTTTGATTCCTAAATACCACTACAAGGAATATATATTCCAAAAAGACCAAAGAAAGAAGAACAGAACCATATGCACAAAAATGTTTGTAGCAGCACTTTTTTTGTTGTTTGCAAAAATCTGGACACAAAGTGGGTGCCCATCAACTGGAAAATGGCTGAACAAATTATAGGATGTGAATATAATGGAATGTTCTTAAACCATAAGAAACAACAAAAGGGACAGACCCAGGAAAAATTGCATTAGCTAATACTGAGTAGAATGACCAAGAGAACAACTTATAAATGACTACAACATTGTAAAAAAAACCCAAAAAACCACTTTTGAAAGACTTAAGAACTCTAATCAGTGAAATGTCCAATCTAAAACAATGATGATGAAGCATGCCTCCTACCTCTTGGACTTGGATTCAGAAAGAGACATATTTTCCGATACATTTTGCTTGACTACATTTTTGTTACAAAGGGGGCTCAATGGGGGAGAACTGTGGAAGGAAATTGGGGAGTGGTGATATAGAGGCTTAAAAAAAGAAAATAAAGAAAAGAGAATCAATGACACATATTAAAACTACACTGAAAAAAGCAGAAGGAAGTTCAAAAGGGGACACAGACAAGCAAGGCAATGTTGTTACTAGTCTGTTAGATACATATTTTTAACACTGTACTAGAGATTCACATATTCATAGGCAATCTCCATTTTTTGACATTGTATTTGGAAATGTTCATGTTTGTTGATGATTTTTGGATAACAGATTTTTTAAAAAAGATTTGGAACTATCCTTGTAATCAGCTGCTTTCTCAGTTAGCAATTCTATCTCAATAAGAACTAGACTCCTTTCTTTAGGTTCTTCCTGTGTTGACTGGTCTGACTTCAAATTAAGCTGTATGATTCTAGTTTAGATGCAGAAAACTCCACATTGAATTCCAGTTGAAATGTACACACACACACACACACACACACACACACACACTCACTCTGTAGAGACATAAATACAGAAACATAGACATACATATCCATGGATGTTCCTCAGTGTCAGGAGCTCTCTGTAGTGAAACACCCTCTACCCAACACAGACAGCTCAGCAGCCACTGGGTAGCTTAAGAGTATCAGAGTTGCCTGGAGCACTGACATGAAGTGACTTGCACAGAGTAACACCAAGAGTTTGTGTCACAGGAAGGACTTGAATTCATGTCATCTTGACTTGCAGACCAGCAAACCATGATGCAACATTGCCTCTTATAAATCGTAGATGAGAGTATGATCTACAAAACAGTAACTGTAAGATACCAACTTCATCATTTAAGCAAAATGGCTCTCTCCAAAGTTATCCATGATCTCTTGGCTGTCTAATTCAACGGCCTTTTCTCAGTCACCATCCTCCTTGACTTCTCTGCAGCCTCTGACAGTGTTGATCACTCCTTCTTCCTTGATACCCTCTTCTATCTAAGCTTTCTGGACACCACTCTCCACTGGTTTTCTTCCTACCTATCTGCCCGCACCTTCTCTGTCTCTTCCAGAACATACCCTCCAACATGCCCTCGGGATTCTATCCTGGGCCCTCTTTTCTTCTCCCTCAATGCTACTTCACTTGGGGATCCTATCAGCTCCCACAGATTTAATTACCTGCTTTTATACTGATAAATCTCAAATCTATGGTTCCTGCTCCAAACTCTCTGCTGACCTCCAATTTCACATCTCCAACCACTTTTCAAACACTTCAAACTGGATGTCCAATAGATACCTGAAACTAAGTATGTCTAAAACCAAACTCATTATCTTTGCCCCAACCCCCTTCCCCTCCTACCTTCCCTATTACTGCAGAGGGCAACACCATCTTCTCAGTCCTTCAGGCATGAAACCTAGAAGTCCTCCTGGATTCCTCACTCTCTCTCACCCCGCCAAATCCAAACTATTGCCAAGGCCTGTCAATTTCACCTTTGCAACGTCTCCTGAACAGGCCTCCTTCTCTCTTCCGACACTTTTACCACTCTGGTACAGGGCCTCATCACCTCACACCTGGACTATTGCAATAGTCTGCTGGTGAGTCTGCCTGCCTCAAGTTACTCTCAATTCCAATCCATTCTCTATTTGGCCACTAAAGTGATTTTACTGAAGTGTAGGTCGTCATCAAACTCCAGTGGTTCCCTATCACCCCAGAATCAAATATAAAACCTTCTGTTAGGCATTCAAAGTACTTCATAACCTAGTTCCCTCTTAGCCTTCCAGTCCTCTTACACTTTACCATGAAGTACAGATTCTTCAGTACTCCTGCCTGTTCCACAAACAAGACAACACATCTCTTAACTCTGAACATTTTCTTTGGCTGTCTTCTATGCCTGGGATGCTCTCTGTCCTCATCTCTGTCTACTGCCTACCCTGGCTTAAGTCCCAACTAAAATCCCATCTACTACAGCAAGACTTTCCCAACCCCTCTTAATTCCAGACCCTTCCCTCTTTTAGTTATTTCCTATTCATACTATTTAAATAAGCTACAGACTCATGCGTAGCTTGTTTGTACATATTTGTTTGTCGTCTCTCTTATTAAACTATAGCTCCTTGAAGGCTGAGAATGTCTTTTGCCTCTAAATTTTGCATCCCCAGATTAGCAAAATGCCTGACACTTACCGGTCACTTAATAAATGCTTAACAACTGACCAGCTTATTGACTGAGTTTCATCTATTTCCCACAAGTCTGACCCTCAAATTACTTATTAAATTACCACTAGATCTTTGTTAGTAAAAAGTGGTTAAAATATGGCCAATGTATTAAGTTGTTTTGCTATGTTTCTTTCTTATGAGGGGGGATTCTATTTGATACAGAGCCACTAGGAAGTGATAGCTTTGTAAAAAAAATCAATAAAACATCAAAATAATGTGTTTTGTTTTGTGTCTAAACACTTTTCCACAACATCTGAAATATATATAACTACATGATCCAAGGCGTATAGCTGTATGTCTTTAAATCCTACCATTAACTACAATTAAAAAATGAAGCATTTCTAACAAAGATAAGCCTAAATGCTACATTGCCATAACCAAGTACACCTCTCAAAAGGGTAGAGTATAAGGTTAATTTCCTCTACACACAATACATATACCCAGTCATTCTTAAGAAATACATATTACCTTCGGTACTTTAAAGCCAAAGACAAAAGACAGGTGATAGAAAAAGAAAAGGAGATGAAAAAGAAAACAGATTTATGAGCAGAAAAATACTTATTCTACTACACAAGTGGAATGAAAAATTCACATTGTTGTTATTTTTAAGCAATACTTACTGAGCCACTGAATGAGAGGAACAGTTTCAGCACCACATCCTCCGAGAAAGGGGGATGCCGGGCCACCAGGTTAATGAAGCGTTTCAAAGCTCTTCGTCTGGTCTCGATAAACTCTCTGTCAGCTAGAGGAAATAAAAGCATATTAACGTTTACAAAGAAGTTCTATTGCCCCTTAACCTCACCCAAACTGGAGCTCTTACCATCCTTAATACTAACAACCTTCTACATTCAAACAATCCTGAATCTGGTACACAAAAATAAAGGTCACAATTTTTCATACTGGCTCACTGAGCTCCTAATCCTGGGAGCATAAACATCACCAACACAACAAAGCCAAAGAAGTGTTGGGAGAGGCAGGAGCCACACCTTCTACATATTACTGCCAGGTTCCAATTAATACAAATAATAAATGCCCTGAAGTAGTCATATTATTTTAATTTGAACTGCATATTCCTATTGAGATGGAACAATCAACATAATTTACATAACTATAAATTCGAATAGTACAAATTCAGATATATGCAACCACTTAGTGGACTTCATTATTTGCACTAATGGGAATTAGCTATATTTTGAAAAGTTAGGCAATGAAAAGGAAAACAACAAATCCTGTTTCTACATAACAGACTGGAAACTAAATTGGATTGCAAGCTATGTCCAACTAAATAAAAGCCTTTTTGTTATGAATAAATTAGTTCTGTTGCACTTTTACATCTCAATTAAATTCTACTTCCCTCAACTTTCAAATCCTAGCCTAGTTTATTTTGTATTTGCTTCAGATTAAAAGCTTTCATTCGTACTTTTTTCTACTTAAGGGAGAAAAAAGATTGGAGTATATATTTTATACTAAAGAATATCTGGGCCTAGGAACTAATAATACACATTATTTTTTAAAATCAAATAATAAGAATTCCACTGAATGACAATTTTTCTTTCAAATACCATCAAGTATCTTTCCACACTACGTAACACTTTCAGAGGTACTAAATGAAGTTTTGGTTTTGTTTTTTATTCCAGATCTGTAATTTCATCAATGTGAGGACGTACTAATGTAGAAACTATCTCCACTGCTACATACAACATGATTGCAGTTAATGGTTTTAGAGAGCTGCCTTAGGGACCAAGAGGTTAAGTGACTTACCCAATATCATACTGTTAATGTTTATCAAAACTTGGACTAAACAAAGGTCTTTGCTTTAATGGTATCCAGATTCAAATTCTATCTAATTCTCTACTTTGATTCAGTAAATAAAATCGAAGACCTTTAGTAAACTCTCAAAAATTATTATATGCTTTCTGTTCCATGCTGCATATGGCATTCTTTGGACTCCTCAAAATGATGTGCATAATTCATTACAAAGCATCTTTCTCCCCACCACTTCCAAATTCTCTAGGATGTCAAGGAAATGACAGCCAAGAAAATGCATTAAGCCAAGAGTGGAATCTAAATGCCCATAGGGGTTTGAAACTAAACACTATGCCAATAAAAGACTATAACTATTTGAATTACAATAATTAAGTAGACTTCAATATACTGATGATGTTTTCCTTTCTGCCATTCCATTTGCCAGAAATCCCAGCTTTACCTCCCAGCATTCTCTTGGGTGGAAGTGCTGGCACCATTCGATAGGGGAACTTCTGTAGCAGTATCTCATGGAACACCACAAAGTCATTGTACCTTCTGTACACAGAAGATTTGAAGCGCTAAAAAAAGAGAGATTTTAATGCTCAAACTAGACAGTAATAACTACTAAAGCCCATTATTCATTCTTTCCTTCTTTCTGCCCCAACAGAAATTAAAAAGTGATGAGTATAATTTCACCAATTTTCCAATGATTCCTTCACCTTACCAAACATCTAAGTTCAAAAGTAATATTCAGATACTTACTAGCTGTGTGACCTTGGGCAAGTCACTTAACCCTGACTGCCTCAGAAAAGCAAAAGAAAAAGTAATATTCATCTCTTCATTTTCCCCAAATTTGTCTCTTCTCTTTTCCCCACACTCCTACATCCAGTACAATGCCAAATCCTGTCAATTCAAACTCAGTAACATCTCTCACATCTATTTCTCTTCACTCCTACTACCAATACTCTAGTTCTAGCCTTCATCATCTCTTAGCTGTATTATTTATTGCCCAAGATAATTTGTCTATTATAATTTCTTCTATACTGCCTTGTAGTAAAAGGGATCCTGTGTGGAAATATTGTAGCAATGAATGAACAGTATTATCCCAGAATGGCTTCTCGACCTTGCTGGGTCTCTTGAATACAAATACTGTATAATGGAAGAGTATTCTACTTACTACATTTTATTGATAGGCTCATTCCAAAGATAAAAAACAAAATTCACTCTTACAATTTATTATGACTGAACCAAAATGTCAAAACTATCACAGATCAATCAATAAGCATTTATTAAGTACTTACTACACGCTAGGCATTTTACCAGTTGTTGGGGACACAAATACAAAAATGACACAATGTCTGCCCTCAAAGACCTTATATTCTCCTGGTAGAGACAACATGCACACACATAAGTGTGTACACAAAATACATAAACAGCAATTTGGGGAGTAACAACAACTAGAGAATAAGAAAAGACTAATTCTTAAATCAATAAAGCAATCAACAAGAATTTATCAAGTGGTTATTATGTGTCAGGCACAGTTCCAGGCACCAGGGATACAAATACAAAATGAAGCAGTTTCATTCTAAAAGACACAATAAGTACATATCTAAATATAGAGAAAATGTATGAAAGATATAAATACAAGGTGATTCTAAAGGAGGAAACAATAAGTACATATCCAAGTACAGAGAAAATGTATGAGAGATAAATACAAGGTAATTCTTGGGGAGGGAACACTAAAAACAGAGTAGAGCTTGAAAAGTATCATGTAAGAGTTCTGTTGGAGCTGAACTTTGAAGGAAACCAGAGGATCTAAGGGCAGGGGTAAGGAAGGAGCAAACCCTGGCACGGGGGTGGGGGGTGGGGGTGGGAACAGCCTAGGCAAAGGCACCTAAATGTAAAATGGAGTGTTCTGTGTAAAGAACAGTAAGCAGAACAGTTTGACTGGATCATAGAGTACATGAAGGGGAATAAATGTGCAATAAACCTAGAAAGGTAGGTTGCAGCCAACCAACAAGGGACTTTAAATGTCAGAGAAGAATTTGTATTAAATCCTAGAGGCAATAGGGAATCACTAGAATTTATCAAGCAGGCAAGTGACGTGGTCAGAGCCATACTTTAGGAATATAATTTTGGCAGCTATGTGTGGATAACTGGATTAGAAAAGGGAGTTACTCAAGGCAGGGAGGCCAATTAGGGGGCTCTCAGAGAAGTCCTGGAAAAGGATTACAAGGTCCTGAACAAAGATGATGGCCATGCAAGTAGAGAGAAAAGGATGTATTCAAGAGATGTTATGAAGGTAGAATTGGCAAGAGTTGGCAACTGACTGTATGTGTAAGGTAAGGCAAAGTGAGAAGCTGAGGATGACTCTCAGGTTTTAAACCTCAGTGACCAGCAGGAGGTAGCACATGAACTGACTCTTGAAGGAAACCTGGGCTTCTAAGAGGCAAAGGTAAGGAGGAAGAATATTGCAATTATGAGGAAGAACAACCTGTAGGAAGGCACAAGGGCAAGAGATGGACCCTGTGTAGGGAGCAGCAAGTCAACTAGGAAGAGTATATGAGGGGGAGGGGATGTATATCCAATCTAGGTAATAACGCAAAAAAAGGATTACATTACTAAAACTATAAAGGTTCTATAAAAAAAGACCCCAGCTTGATAACCACTACTTTGGGGAGAGCTATACACCCCTGTAAAGAATCATGAAAGCATGAAAAAGGCTTCATTCTGATCCTTGTTCCCTTAGAGCTTCATTTAAAACCAAAGGAAACTACTTAGCCCCATATTCTGGTCCTAAGTAGTTTTCTAATATTTCAAAATCATTGCCAAAATAAATATACCTAATTCACACATCTCTGCCTGAGAGATGGTCATAACAAAGATTATAAAAGGACACTTTGGGAGGGTAGTTAGTAAGGGATGCTGCAGGGCAGGATTACATGAGCAACAAAACCATTTAAGATGCTGCCACCTCATTTTTTTCCCTTTTAACTACTTCAGTTTAATACAACAGCAAATCACGTGATTTTTCTCTTCTTCTTTTCCACCTCACTCTTTCCTCCTATCACACAGGAATGCATTACCAGGCTTGAAACTTCATATTCCACGTGTTTCAGGAAAAGGCCCTTCTTCTCGGGAATGAGCTCCACCTGCACGGTGTCCCTGGCCAGCAGCTCTTGGAGGGTGTGAGAGAGCAGTAACGGGTTCCCTTGAGGCATCTGCATTCGAAATGAATCTGGTTCCCTCTGCTCAATTACCTGAGGCTTTGGCAAGTCTGGGAAGAAACAGTGAACACATTACAAACAGCTTAAGACCTTTTTCTTTAGGGGAAAAAAAAAGTCATCACATGGGGTAGCTGTTTGGGAGGAAAAGGTAGAGGGTTACAGGGCAACATAAAAACAAAAGTTATCAATACAAATTTATTTAAAAAAAAAACTTAGGAAGCAGCAACCTCTGATCTGCTTCCCCTTCCCTTCACTACATGCTGTCTCAGCATCTGGACTCTGGCCAACCAATGTAACCAATCCACTCCTTGCACATATTACACATATTCATTCATTCTAGACTCACAGCTCAGCTGAAATGCCTTTCTGCACATTCCAAGCACCAGTCAGCTGGACTCCCCACCTGCTTGTGAATCAGCAGATGTATACACTTCCTTTCTGGAAATTGCTAAAGAAAATTACTCCCCTACAGAATGAAATCTAATATTGTCCTGGGGTCAATGTTATAGGAGAAAATAATATGTGAAATGTTCTCTAATTATTAAAAAAAATTCCTTCCACCATCAAGGTGTCAAAATGAAGAGAAAAATACTGAACTCAAAAAATTTTCACAGTACCTCCCATACCTGGAAGAGGCCTCAGGGGTTATGTAACCTAATCCATTCTTGAACAAGAATCCAAGCTACAAAATCCCCAACAAAAGGTCATCCAGGCTTTGCCTGAAGACCTCTAGTGGGGAGGGGGGCCAGAGAAGAGACACCCAGCGCACTACCTCCCAAGGCAGTCCGTTCTTCTGGTAGACAGCTCTTTTAGGAAGTTTTTCCTTACTGTGGGCCTTAATTTCTGCCTGTCGCTCCTAGTTCTGTCCTCTGTGGCTAAACAGAACAAATCTATTCTCTTTTTCATATGATGGCACTTACCAGGTCTTCATACAGCATACTCTCAAGGCTTTTCACCACCCCTTCCCTTTCAGCAAAATTCAGATTTTCTTCCCCCCAAAAGGCACTCCATCAATTGAAGAATGGCTGAACACATTCTGATGCAGAAATTTAGTGGACCATTATTGTTTCATAAGAAATTATGAAAAGGACAGTTTCAAAACAACCTAGGAAGACTTAGGAGAACTAATGAAGATGGAAGTGAGCAGAACCTGACAAACAATTTACAGAATAGCAGCAACCTGTAAAGACAAACAACTTTCAAACACTTAAAAATCTGATGAAGGCAATGACCAATGATGAGTTAACCCATCCCTTGAAAAGGAAGTAATGGACTCACTATATTCAGAATGACATACATTTTTGTTCATAACAAATGTGGGAATTTGTTTTGCTTGACTATACAAATGTGTTATAAGGGTTTTGTTTTTCTTTTCTTTTCCAATTAGGGAAGGTGAGGGGGGGAAAGAGGATAGGGATAAGACTGCCCCCAAAAGGGAGATAAAGAGGGCTACTGAAGCATTTTTTAAATGCACAGACAGAAACAAAACGAAGGGCAAAAAGACTCACAGACAAGTAGGACAGCTTTGAAAGTTACATTTGGGAATTTAATATATATTAATGATACATAATAATTTGTATTTATCATTTACAGTATGTAACATAATAAAAGAAAAGCAAGTTGTACACAACAGACCGTCACAGCTATATGTACAATCAATCTTCTTTCTCTGTTCTACTATGTACATGAAAATGGTCATTTTATTTGATGCTTGCTGAGTTTAGAATTTTTCTAAGGAACAATCCTCAGTCTGAACAAGGCAAAGTACAACAAAGCTTTCACGTCGTTAGTCCTGAAATTTATGTTTCTTATTAAAACCTGGGATTGTATTAGCTTTTTTAAACTTCTATACACTGGGAGACCATACTGAGTTTCAGTCCCCGAAACCTGAGATATTATTCATAACTGCTATCCTACTATACCTGCTCCATCTTACACCTGTGAAATTGTTTTTTCAACTTAATTTTCAAGGTTTTAAATTTATCCCCATTATATTCCGTCCTACTCAATTATACACAATGTTCTAGCCTGCTGAGATCTTTTCAAATCCTGATTTTGTTATCCCATATTAACAATCCTTTTAGCTTTTACGTAAACTGAAAATTTTTTAAGCACACCTATTTCTTTTACTCAAGTTACTGAAAAAAACATTAAACATCACAAGGTCAGTTAAAGATCTCTAGGACACTCTACTGGAGATCCTTCCAAGTTGATATAAAATCATTTATGACTACTCTTTAGGCTCAGCCATCCAACAAGTTTTGAATTGACCTATGTGGAGTATTGTCTAGCCCACATCACTCCATATTTTCCACAAGAACAACAAAGATGAATTGTATCTACCATATTTCCCTAATGTGCTGGTATAGCTAACATGTCAAAAAAGGAAGCGAATTTAGATCACATTGGGCTCTTCTTGAAGCTATGCTGGCTCTTTACAACATATCCTTTCTTTGGACAGTCATTTGCCATCTTTTTAATTAATATGTTCTAGAATTTTATCAGGAATCAAAATCAAGTTCACTATAATTGGCAGACTCCATTCTCTTTCCTTTTAAATTGATTAGTTTGCCCTTTTCCAATCCTGCATAAAGATGGTTAAAAGTGACTCAGCATTCACAACTGTCAGTTCTCAGCTCCTTAACGAGTAGTTAATCTGATCTAGGTGACTTGAATTGATTAAAAACAACATGGTGCTTTATTTCTATTTCTTTTTAGGAAGTATCAACTCCTTAATGGCCATTTTTGTTCTGTCTTTTCCAGTCTGAATATTATTCTCTTTGGCAGAGGAAACAGAAGCAAAATGAGATAAACAGCTCTGCCTTTTTTATGTAATTTACTCACCAAGAGCAGTGATGCTATTCCTTCTTTGATTTGGGCCTGATGTTCTAACCTGCTAATCTCTTTCTGAATCTTGATTGTCTTCATTCAATATGAGCAATATCTCTTAGCTTTTTTGTTTGTTTGTTTTTTGCTGGGCAATGGGGTTAAGTGACTTGCCCAGGGTCACACAGCTAGTGTTATGTGTATGAGGACAAATTTGAACTTAGATCCTCCTGACTCCAGAGCCGGTGCTCTGTCCATTACGCCACCTAGCTGCCCCAATATCTCTTTGCTTTGATGTCAACTGCAATTTTTTATAGCATATTCTCTAGTTCCTTTGTCCCAACTGATTGAAAAAAAGATCTCCTTTTCCCCAATGTAGCTTCAAAAAGAAAATTCTGTTCTTGTTCTTAAAAATTTTCCTTGTCAGCTGTCACTCAGCCCTCCAATGATGCTGGTTACCACTCCTTTAAAATAAATAGGTTGAGGTGAAAAACACATTATAAAAAAAAAAGAATTCATATTTGTTCTTTTTGTTTCTTACACTGTTACTCTCTGAGGTATTTCTAGCTCCTTGAAAGTATCTGATATGTTACCATTCATCAATAAATACTGACTGATGAGAATCAATGAGAAGAACCAAAATAGGAAAATCTTCCTGTAGGACTCATCAATGAATTCTCCCATCCTTTCTGGTGAGTTAAAATTTGAGACATGTGCCTAGAATGTGGGGAAACTGGGAGCTCTACCTACCAATGGCTCCAACCTATGATAGATTCTTTTAAATAGATGTAACTATTGAAATATCTGCTATTTGAAGGACATATCATGCAATCAGCCAAACAGTATAAGACAAATCACTTTCTTTAGTATGTCAGGCTTAGAAGAACTAAAAATCAGAAAGAATGTGATTTTTGTTGTTATTCAGATAATTCTGCAATTGTCTTTGTAAGACAATGAAACCTCTCTTCCATCCTCTAAAATGTTCTTGCTGCACCTGTCTCTTTCCTGCCAGTTAGAGGTGATGACTATGAATGACAATAAAAGGCAATACAGGCTAGCATAAAGGAAAAGGGCAGCAGTGAAGAAGCATTCTTGTTCCGTTGTTTTTCAATTGTGACCAACTCTTCATGATCCCATCTGGGGTTTTCTTGGAAAGATACTGGAATGCCATTTCCTTCACCAGCTCATTTTATAGATGAGTAAACTGAGGCAAACAGGGTCACACAGCCAGTAAGTATCTGACACCAAATTTGAACTCAGGAAGATAAGTCTTCCTGACTCCAAGTCCTGCACTCTACTCACTGTGCCATCTAGCTGCCCCAGAAGAAGCATTAGTTCATTAAGATTTGATGAAGTCACTTATGTAGGCTTAGATCTGAAAGCAGACGTCTTCTGATTCTAACAGGACAACATGTCTCTAAAGCATTCTGGGTTAGAATTATAGAAGCTGAGAGTTAGAATTGGAGATCAATTGCATCACATTACTGAGAAACTGTGGCTCAACAGAGCTATAATAACTTATGCAAGATTACACAATTTGCTAACAACAAAGGAATTGAAGTCTCTTTACATTTCAACAAACATTTATGAAAAATCTATTTGCCTTGTGGGGAAATGATATAAAACTAGGATTTAAATTTGACAAATCAAAATCAAGAGTCTACTTGAAAAAAAGGCTAGTTTTTGTTTGTTGCTGTTCAGAGATATCTGACTCTTTGTGACCCCATGGATCACAGCACTCCAGACCCTCCTCTCCTCCACTATCTCTTGAAGTCTACCCAAATTCATGCTTGTTGTTTCCATAACACTATCTATCCATCTCATCCTCTGCCATTCTCTTTTCCTGTTTCCTTCAATCTTTCCCAACATCAGGGTCTTTTCCAATGAGTCCTGTCTTCTCACTATGTAGACAAAATATTTAAGCTTCAACTTCAGTATTTGACCTTCCAGTGAACAGTTTGAATTAATTTCTTTAAGTAATGACTGATTTGATCTCCTTGCTGTCCAAGTTTCATTACTGAAAGCAATGAAAAGGAAACCTCCAAGCTGGGCCCCCCAGAGTTTGCAGGAAGCTTGTCTGAAAATTTCAAAACTAGTGATTCCAAATTCACAAGTCAGCAGCTTCTTCAGAGTTTGTTTCAAGAAGATATATTTGAAACTGTTATTATCCCACATCAATGGCCCACAAGTCTACTTAGGGTTATAATTCCTGGTCACAGTACTC